AAATGCCCAAGCAGCTGTAGAACTTCTCTCTTAGAACAAGAGGATTTGACACTTATACTTGAAATAAACTCACAAATTCGATCAACTTTTTCCTGCGGTAAACGGGCTTCCATTTTTTGTGAATCGAGAATGATGCCAAGATATTCAAGACACGTTACAGGGCCAACAGTTTTGTGCATCGCTATTGGAACATTTAAGCGTTTAAAAATCATCATCATTAATGCCATTGATCGCTCTCCGTCAGCGTGTGGCGGATCTATAGTTAAGAAATCGTCTAACAGGTGTAAAATGTTATTGACCTTGTAATTGTTTGTGGCAATATAACATATTGCTTGTGACAAAGTATCGAATATAATGGGACTAGATCGGCAACCGAAAGTTAATCGCACATAGAAATAATATTTTTCCTCCCATTTAATGCAAAACAAAGGCCATTGTGAAGGTAAAATAGGACAATTTTTGAATGCATTGGAAATGTCGTACTTACATAACCAGGAATTTTTTCCGTATTTCAGGATAATATCTATAGCGTTGTCGATCTTAACGTATGACATAGAGCAGATGTCTTTGTCAATTAATTCATTGATGCTAAAATGAGTATCACTTTGATGAGGTGCCGATAAATCCAATATAAGTCGTTTTTTCTTTGAATATTTTCCTTCCGCAACTCCCAACGGACTGACACGGTAACTTGAAAATGGAAGTGTATCAAAAGGCCCGTACATAAAACCATTTTCACACTCCTTCCTTAACAATTCATTTACTACGTTCGGTTGTGATCGTGCAGACAAATTATTACGACATTCAAGGGTTGGTAAACTAGTCACAGAAACTTTAGTGTCAAAACCATATTTTAAACCATTGCATAAATAAAATACAAAAGATTTGTCACTGTGATTTCTAAGTTCATTTTGTAATACTTCTACGTTAATCGGAGTAGTAGCATGTAGGGGGAAGTTAACATTTGATAGTCATTTTTCGGAACCGAAGCTGTGCTTTGATGCAGGAGTACCAGTCTTAGCAACAGTGTTTTTAAAAGCGTGGTTCTTTCTATTTTTTTTTCGCTATCGTTATGCGAAGATTGACGATGACAGGCGGTTACGCTATGATCATAGTTACGACAATTGGAGCACATGTGTAAGAAAAGGCATCGACCGTCTTTATTACAGCCAGACATGCTATTGAAATTATTGCAAATTTCTTTTCCGTTGTGATAAAAACGCTTCCTACCACGAATATCAGAATTACCGCTATTTTTCGTTAGATGTGGGGTAGATACGTTTTTCTCTGATAATTGCAATGGACAGAATTTTGTGTCATGGTCAACCATGTGACAAAGTTTGCAAATATTTATTTCAACGCCCGCACCTATCAAGATCATCAGGTCGCGATCCCTTTTGCTCCAATCGACTTTAATTTGTTTCTCTTGAAGAAGGGTCGAGGCTTTTGCTGAAAACAATTTATGGTAGTCGTAGAACTTCTGACCGTAAAAATTACTGATCTCTATGATATCCTCCTCGTAGGCGTCTAATTCAAATCTCCTACCTGGAAAAGCAGATGTCATTACACGCTTGAATTTTCCGAAGGCCTTTATGAATTCCTGGATGGTTAGTTGTCGATTTAAACGCGGGTCTGGCTTATTCCCTACATTAATTTCCATACCGTCTGCCAAAATGGTATGTGACTGGGGACTCTCGAAACTAGGAATAAGGAGAGAAGCTAAGTTAATGTCCTTACCCTGTATTATTTGTTTCTGTAATGCTGTAGAAACTATGTCGACATTGGGAAAATCGTCAGAACGAACTCCTGTTCTATTTAATCCATGAACTAACGCATCCGGTGTGTTTTGTATCGACGGTGCGGTATTACTGGAATTGTACCATTGATGTAGATTATACGGTTTGCTAGTATCATACAGCTTCTCTGTCATCAGGGTATCGACAGATTTCTGAAGGCCGTTCACGCATTGTGACATAGTGTTAAAAGCAGCCACTAATATATTTGTGTTAACATGTTCCGTAGCAGAAGAAGTAATGTCAATGCTTTCACGGTTTTGAGTCTCTGTTGAAGCAGTTTGCGTATCAGATGGAAAACTGTCTGTTGCACTTAAAATATTATCGATGGCTTCTACGCGAGCATCACTGTTTTTGTTACCAATGTTTTCTGTATACAGAGTTTTAACAACGTTTAAAGTCAGATTTGTAGGCACTTTGAAACCAATTTTAGACAGTTCGTCCACCATTTCGGTTTTTGTTCTCTCAGAATTAGTTTTTGTAACAACAGTTTCAGTACTATATGGCTGGAAACGGGATTTCCGTTTCGTCGGAATCCGTTTTTTTACTTGGAGGCATAACTTATATCTTTGTAAACAGTGTTTTTCATTTGTTTTGAGAATAAGTTTTAAAAGCTGTTGCCACGAGGAGCAATTACTAAGACTGTGATTCAACTTGTATTTCACGTGACACATTTCTTATTAAACTGCAAGCACGCAACTTTATCTAACCTATATGTTTTGTGACCTCTTAACCGATATTTAATGTCGAGTAACGGGTTATGCAGAAACGGGTTAAGAAAAGTCATCAGCACCATTTAACAGCTGGGAATAATCAACTCGTCTATAAACCATGATTATACAATTCTATAATCTACCACCAAATAATTGACTTGAAACAAAATATAAAGGTATGTTAATTCTGAAACTATTTCCTGTTGTTATTGCTGTTAAATGAAGATGGTACAACATGATGCGAGGGGATATGGATAGAAGTTCATGATACGACAACAATCTCATTAGATACTTATTAAACATTTAATAGTATCAGATTTATTGCTGCAATATGTGTTGTTACTGAAAGATAGGTTTGTCACAATGAACCACCAATCAAAGACTTATAGTCGACAGTTTCACTCAGATCATTATCCAAGTTTCATTTTTTAAGTTTTTATTTCTCAAAGACCCAAAAAGTGGTATATGATCAGTAACAAACAAATCAATTTGTTAATTTATGTTGATCATTGTCATTTTGCTTAGTTTCTTCTCTTACTTATTTTAACATCGGACTCGGACTTCTTTCAAACTGAGTTTTACTGGGCGTATTGCTGTGTGTTTATTTATTCCACATTGGCAAGAGGTAAATGGGCAGGGTTGAGATCTAACAAAAAATGTATAATGTTCATGTAAAGCTGAGAGTTTATTGGATTGTAAACACTTCATTTCTTTTAAATCACCAGAAAGCCATGTCCAGAAATTATATTTTTCTTCATAAGGAAATGCCTGTACCAAGTTAGGAATATGACAGTTGTTTTCCATTCGTTTGATGTGTTTGCGCTTTTGATTTTGCCATTTGATAAGGGAATTTCCGTTTTGAATTTTCCTTCGAGTTGGGTATTTTTGTTATTTTACTTTTTATCAAACATATTTAACGCAGCCCCAAAACAATAATGTATAGTAGTTCAGCGAAATGGACGCCACACTAAACTCCAATTACAAATGAACCAAAATTAAAAAAAAAAACACACAAAACCAACAGCTAAAGGTTCCTAACTTGAGACATGCGTAAAAATGCTTTGTTAAGCAACTATCGGGCACCCTACGGCCTTAAAAAAAATGAGAAAAACCAATACCGCAAGTTTATATAGCAACGCCACAAACATCTTAAAACTACATATTTTGAATATCCACATTATTTTTATGCCCAACATTCTAACATAGAAAAGAATAAGTATAATTGAATATTTTGATCATGTTTCAAACTTTAAATAAGCAAATTGATATCAGTTTCATGTAAAAAAAAAATGAATGAGCAAACCGAACATCATAGTCGAGGGACATTTTTCAAAAAGACGCCTTGTGAAGAAATTTAGTGCGTTCGTTTAACACACACCTATATAAACCATTTGACAGCTTATTATCTGTCCTTTTTGCCTTTCCCAGTCGACAAATTTATGCTATATCTTTAATGAAAGGTCAAAGACAAGGAGTAATTATCCTAAACTTTGCAAGAATTAAACAAAATGACTTTTTTCTGACTCTTGTATTGTAAAATAGGTTAAGAAGATAATCATTTGAAGATGGACATAAGCAAATATATTTTTGGTTAGATAAATATTACTGTATTGTACCAGTTTAACAAAGAGGAGGGCTATATAAAATAATTATCTTTAGTATGACTTAAAATTAGAAAAAAATGTTTTAACTTTTCATGTGAATTTATAATGAAATGCGGACTACTAAATGTAAAAAAAGGACAACGATGACTTTTCAGACTGAATTTATTAAAATATGGTGAATTCTTAGGGTATATAAAAATCAATTTACAATTGGCTATGGCGTGATGTCTAATCACTTTCTATTACTTATCAACATTGTTTATAGGTGTCACAGGGTGTGGAACAGAATTTGTTAACCCTTCCGGAACACCTGAGATCAACCCGGTTTTTGGGGTGGTTTAGTGTTGCTCAGTTTATATGGTTTGCAGACTGTTGCTTGTCTTTTCTTTGTTTATTGCTTTTCGTCTGGCGTTTTCAGTTTGTCTTCGACTTGTGATAGATATAAGAAGATGTGGTATGAGTGCCAATGAGACAACTCTCCATCCAAGTCACAATTTGTAAAAGTAAACCATTATAGGTCAACGTACGACCTTCAACACGGAGCCTTGGCTCACACCGAGCAGCAAGCTATAAAGGGCCCCCAAAATGACTAGTGTAAAACCATGCAAACAGGAAAACCAACGGTCTAATCTATATAAAAAACGAGAAACGAGAAACACTTATGAACCACATCAACAAACGACAACCACTGAACATCAGGTTCCTGACTTAGGACAGGTGTATATCACTTTGGTATCTTCCGCCTCTCTTTTTTCTATGTGCACCAATTGTGCCTTAAAATAGCGAGACAAATGCAGCAACACTTCGAGTTTTTTTTTTAATTATTTTTAAGTGGATCATACACAAGTTCGATGTGTCGTAGTTTTTAAGAACTCTTATTGCTAAGTATAACAATTGTTTACTAAGAAATGGTATATAAATGATACGTATATTACAACAAACGTACACTAATAAGGGAATATACGTTCACTAAAGGTCCTAACAAAAAGGATGATGTGTATCCGGACATAAAGATACAGATGTAGTATAGTGATTACCTCATCTTAAACCACATGCCATTAGTAATAGATAATAAACAATTAGCCGGTACTCCTTCACAATGAATGTTTTCATCGAGGATAAAGAACTTAAATGAACTTGAAATATTTTGGGAAGCAACATATATAAAACCAAATAAAAGTAAATATTTTGATATCGGATTTTAGACTTGGATAATAAAGATGTGGATTGAAAAACTGACGGTAAGTCACAGGAATTAAAACACACTATTTCTTTTCTTCCTTCTTTTGTATTCACAATAAAACTTTCTTAACTGTTGTAAAATATTTATTTTTGTTTTTTTTAGATTCAATGAAAATCATTTCTGTGAAGACGAGGGGTGGTGTTTACAAATCCATTGATTACTTCACGTCGCTTTCAAATTGCAATAACCTCTTAAATATACATGAAATATTTGCCACTGGACTTGAAGCAAACGATCATTTATTCTTTATTTAGAATCATTAATACCTTCTGCTGCGTTGAACGACTTAAATGTCAAATGTTGAACTGAAATTTGTTATCGAAACCAATGACGATCACAGCATCAAAATTAAAAGCCACCTAGATATAAACTAAATCTAGAATTCCACATATATTTTTCAACAATTAGAATACATGTGTCCATACCTAAGGCTAGTAATAAAAAATCATAAAAAAGAATGTGTATTAGAACTCAAAGTAATTTTGCAAGCATAAGTTCGTGCGACTGATGACAAAATAACCAACAACTAAAATAAAAATAACCACATTTTTCTCCTGATAAAAAGGGGTAACTTTTTTCTGATTTCTGAAGTTTGATATTGTTAACCTAACCTCATCTCTATAACCATAACTATGAAAAAAAGGAATTATTTGTAGAATTGTGTAAATCAAAGGCTTTTAGTTGCCATTGTTTGGTCACTTAAATTGCAAAAATACTAAAGTTTCAATTCTTCTAAATCGTGTTGTGTTTGTTGTTAAATAAAGTCTGAAGAAATGACATTTGTGTTGTCATAAACATTCAATTTATATTGATGGAAAAATGGTAATTTTACACATAGTCTTTGTAAAATTTAATATGAGCAACAGTCATACCCAAAAAGATATTTTACTTCCGAATCATTTTGTTTAAGACACCTTATGACAAATATCTCTTTTGGAAATACTGTTGTTGAATGGGAAGATTTGTAATGAAGCAGTTTTTAAAGATTCTACCAAAATTCAAGAACTTTGAAAGCTTAAATGTATGACAAAATTAAAATTCATTAGTAAAAAAACTATTGTTTCGTACGAATCTCTATTTGATGTTATTTGATAGATGTTATAATCCTTTAAAATGTTTTAATTGAAGTTCTCCATTATGTAAATATCTATAATCCATTCAGTACATTGTATTCTATTGCCAAACAAAAATAAAAGAATACATTTAGGTTATAATTGTTATCTTTATCAATTCTAAGTTTGTCTTTTTCTCCTTTTTTTTCTATTTTATGAACTACTTAGTGAATTTCATCTTTATGTATTACTACTTCTTCAAAAGATAACGTCATAAAATTTCGGAAGGACAACTTAATAGGTGCTTGAAATAAATTAGTTTCTAAGTAGAAATTATGACCTTCAGAACTATGATTAACTAAAATGATCCACTCAATTCTAATAGGCAAGTGGGGTCATTTTTAGTGTAATGATATTTGATTGTTTTAGACCATACACTGGTGTGCTTTCAAACTCTGTTTGATTTGTAGTGTTTAATAATGTTTAACAAGTTGTCTCTTGAATTGACTCTAAAAAGCTTAATATGAGTTATTGTCTTCGAGAGCCCTCCGTGAGTATCACTGCTTTGCGGCAATCAAGAATAATCTACTTGCAGATTTACTAAAGACGGCTTCCATTTCACGTTATTTTGCAATAATATTTGTTTTATAAGATCATATAACTTTTAACAAACTTGTAATCAAACTCCTGTATAAAACTTGGTATAAAAAAGGAGATATGGTATGATTGCCATGAAACTATCCACCAAAGTTCAAATGAATTGGATGTAAGCAATTATAGGCAACCGTATGGCCTTCAACGATGATAAAAACCAATACCGTATAGTCGGCTATAAAAAGGCCCCGACATTGAAAATATGAAACAATTCATTTGAGAAAACTAACGGCCTAATTTATATAAAAAAAATTACGAAAATTTAAGTGAAAGATTAATCGAACTGGACGAAAAAACCTCAAATTTGTGTATCTTTTAACTATAATTATTTATTGTCACACTCGGCTTTTCTTGTACATTTTTACAAAATGTTCAGTGACTCATTGAGTACGTGTCAGTATTTACGTTACAAACATTGACAACTCGTTATCAATGCAACAGGTAGCACTCACCAGATACCCTTTGCTGTCGGTAATCAAATATTTCCACAAAACATTAATGGCAGATGGTCGTCGTGGGTTTAAATGAACATGAATCACTGCAAATCTTTATTAAGGCTACCTTAATCTTTTTTATATTCATTTCCAGACATCAGATTTACTATACATTGTGTGCATTACATAAAGATATGGAACATTTAAAAATGCTGACTCAAACCTATTGTTTAGGAATAAACGAGTCCTATAGTTGCTTACATCCGCGTTATTTTGACTCTGGTGAATAGTTCGTCTCTTTAGCAATCATACCACATCTCCTTATATTCTTATTTAAAACAAAAACAAAAACTGTTAAGTTATTTTACCATCAATACAAATCCCAACATCCTACAGTTTATGTCTGTTTATCACAAGCATATTACAAGGCAGCCTTAGCTACTGTTCATTGATCAAAAACGATAATTTATAAATTATTATGTTTAACGATCTGTTATAGAATTATATTCAGTGTCGACATTCCATTGTATTTAATCGGTATTTATATGAGAATCTTCATGAGAAAAAAAGAGAAGTTGTTACATTTCAATTTGACGTATGCATTTGGTTGTCGCGTGTTGGAAAAGTGACACCTCATGTATACATGTATCTGCACTCTATAGTGCATATCTACTGGTTTTGACACTGACTTCATTAGTGTTGAATATAACGGTCATTATTTTATCAACACCTAAGCCTTACTTATGGTTGCCATGCATACATGAATAAAAAGAGATATTGGTTATACCTCAAGGGACAGTTACCCAACGACAAAAAAAAACCAGATATTTAAAAGTAAAATAGACAAATGTCTTTATAATGTGTCTAACATAAAATCTAATGTATAAACCAATTGTGAATAAATGTAACAAAAACTCGATCAGATCCAGATATTCTCCTTCTTGCTTCCTGTTATTGTATCCAAGCCAGCTTTCTCTTTTATAATTTGAAAAGTGACATCTGAAAGCGCACCGGATGCAACCAATTTATTTTTAAATGAACATAGATGACTTGTAGGGGGACAGTTCTTATGTATTTGCCACCATGATCGCTAGTTAATTAAACAATATTTTAACTAATAAATAATGAAACACATTAGATGTTTTACATTCTCTACGTTCTAGATTATACAGTTTTATTCTCTACGTTCTAGATTATACAGTTTTATTCTCTACATTCTAGATTATACAGTTTAAATTCATGTAAATGGTATAGTCTTACTTTATGATTGTTCTGATCAAAGACCTGTTAGTATTGACAGCTTTCCTTTCATCAAAACTCGAAGGTTGCTTTGTATTAAAGCTGTTGCCAACTTTTATCAAATATCAATACGTTGAAGTCTTCCGAAGGTCATCACTATGGCGACGGAAATACTTTAAAATAAAAATTCTCTATAATTCATCACATTCTTTCGGACGAGAGGAAACACATTTTTGAAATCGGAATGTAGACGACTTCAATAATTGTCTTTTTAGTCTTTGTTTTTTTTCTCTTTGTACTGCAGAAACTCCCCGCGCTAAATTCGTATCTCTTTCCAAAGGCTGTATTAGTTATTCAATCTTACACCTTATCGATTTGATTTTTAAACAGATCACCTAGTCTGATATTTTCATTCAAGCATACATGTATTCTCTTTATTCTCATAGTATAACTAAAGGGATTCCTCGTTAACAATTGTAATATATAACATTAACTTTAAGTAGAGGGAAATAAGTGTTTGCTCTGTATTTTGTGGTATCGGGAAGATAATAAGTTCTGTTAATGGTTCATGTATAATGATGTAAAGACTTTAAAGTGTTCAAGAAATTCCTTTATGTTGTTTATGAATAAGTCCATTTCATATCTAAAGTTTTTATGCTTTACCTGTAATATAAAATTTATAAAGTGATATTTCCTCTATTTGTATGTCATAAAAAGTATAGAGTTGAAACCTGTGTTGGAAAAGATATTGCATCCGATATTACGTTCAAACTATGCAATTAATTAGATTATTTGTTATATACTTTACCAAAAACGTAAGAAATATGTAAGTGTTGAAAAATCGGCGGAAATGTTGTATACATTACGGAAATTGTATTGTATCCGCAGGAAGGTATTCAAGGTAATTGATCATATTGCCAGATATGCTTACATAAATTAATTCAGTCAAAAATAGCTATGTTGTGGCATCGACACTTTTATAATAAGACAGCGATATAAATCGAATAATAATGGAGTAACTTTGGATATTTGGATAGAGAAAAACACCCAATGCTATAATAGATAAATGATGAAGATCAATATCTGTGAACCAATTTGCAGATATATTAATTATTTATTAATAACTTTCGTTAAATTGCCTATGCTGCATGAAGACTTGAGGCAATCTGACGTCCAAGTACACTTGTTTGTTTGTTTGTTTGTTCGTAATGAAAACGAAACTTTTAGTAGGTTTTTAAATTTCAGATGTAAATATAATACTTTGATTGAAAGCTGACAGTTCATTAGACATATTTACAAGCTTATAGATTGATTGTATTTTTGATAACGTTTAGTTGCTAATATCTCAAATGATACTCATATACCGGAAAGACATAAAATAAAACAACAAATTGATTAAATTAATTGAAAACTGACGAAAGAGATGTTCCGACATCAGTTCAATAGGAAAGGTTGGTATGATAGCAACTTGCTGATGTAATTCCTTTACAACTGGTCAAAGAATTGTTTCAAGGGTTTTATAGAATTTTGAGATAGCCCTAGTCAGATCAAAAATGACTGCAAACCAATATATCCAACGAAATAAACCAACCAGCAGATGTAATACATGTTTGGCACTGACAATCCTGCACAAACAGTGTTAACATTTGTGCATCGATACTGAACAATGGTAATAATATACGAAGATGATTGCATTTTGAACAAGAAATTACTAACGAAGGTCATCTGTTGTGCCAAATTTGATATTTGTTAATGTGATATTACTTCATCTTGTTCGTATGTGATTATTCGTTATCAGTGTCGTTTCACAAATCTTCAGAACTACATATGATAAGTAGTTATAAGTTATTCCTTGTCGGTTCTCTACTTTAAATAAATAGTTTAATTTTAAATGCTTCGATATACTGCAATCTGGATATTAAACATTATCAATCAATACCCATTCCATAGCCCGAGACCACTGTGTAATAACTAGTAGTCTTGGCATAAGGCGAACAGTATACAAAATGAAGTAAAAACATTTCAAAAAGTCGTCATGTTTTGAAATCAGACCAATAAAAGTTCGAAATAGCGGTTTCGACCATTTGCAGTTGCTACAGCTGAATTTGACAGTCATGCTTTATTCTGTTTACAGGTAGTCGTTGTTTGTCTTGGCTGTTGTATACATGGACAGCGAGATCGAATTGACGTTAAAAACGATCTGACAATTGATCAGGTTATACTTGGAGCAATGGGCGGTACAAACAGTAAGTGGTCTCATTCAACAAGGTTTGGTAACATAAAAGCAAAATTATGCTTGGACTATGTATACAATATTAACTCTAGGAGAATATCAGAAAGAATATATAAAAGAATACAAATCTTTTACTACCTTATACTTGATCATACTTCCTATGATTTGTTACTCTATTCGAGTTTTAAATGTTTTCATTTACATTTTACCATTTATACATTTTGTCAGAGAAAAAATAATGTTCTAAAAATCAGCAGAAAGAATCCTGAATGAAATTGGCTACTCTATTAAATTTGGGTATCCATATTATGCATTACATACCCGATAAAGTAAAGTGTGATTCGCGGAGTAAAGTAATATTGCATCAGATATATAAGCATGTGTTTTCATCTTGACTCAAATGTTTTCATTTTTAACTAATTGTCCTAATTTAACATACAAATACAATGTTTTAAAATATTGGAAACTTTATTTAAGGAGTTGCAGCTAGCATGACTTTACCTGACCCAAACAGGACACTCGCTGAATTGGATATGGTTTTAACAAAGAAACAATATGATTCAATGTATGGTAACTCTACCAGGTGAGATCTTCATTTAAGAGTATTGATAAATAGTACTGATAGATGAATATAAGATAGGATCTCTTGCAAAGCGGAGTTTGTAGGTTAAAGCGGTGTATAATGAATACCAAAACCAATGCCCAATATGTACTTAAATACACACACAAAAATCGGTACATGAAAAAAACCAATGCTCAATCTGTACTAAAATATATAGTACATGACAAAAACAAACGACTGTCGTTGCTTTGTGTAAAAAAAAACTGTTAGTGCAGTGTTTCTAGTGTAACGAACTAGTAGATTAAAAAAAAACCTGAAACGGTGGTGGTATCTACAAATAAATGACAAGAAAACTGTAATATCTCCTTTCTGTTGAACAGTACACTTGTTATTGTTTAATGTTACAAGTTTATATTGTTGCTTCTAATTCCTGCTAATTCCTGCTCCAAATATTTCCGTCTTTGTGATTGTCGACACTTTCATTGTTGAATTTAGAAAAATAAAGATTTCTTTCTTATAGAACAAAAAGAAAAGCTGTTAGCGACGAAACTGTTTACTGGACACGTGGTCAAGTTCCATACAAGTTTGCACCTAATCATTTCAGTAAGTAAATAATTTTGATGCTATTTTGATAAATATTGAATAAAACTATGAGTAGGATATAACGACACAAAAAACAAAAGGCCAACATACAGTCTTCAACAATATACAGATATCTTTATAATATTTTATCATAACTAAAACAGTTTAAAGTCAGCTTGCTCGAGGCAGTTGCAATTTTTTTGTTTTTATTTACGAAATAAAGTTTAATTTAAATCTTTACCGCATTGGCTATTGAACGAAGGATACTCCCGTGAATTATACGTTCACAAACAGCACTTGTTTAGGACAATTAACAGTGATTTTGCTACTAAGTTTGTATATCGGTATATTTCACTTTATAAGAGAAAACATCGTGAGTGTATTTTATTCATTTACATCTTTAAACAACGATCGATTCCAGAAAATAAATCTTTAGACTGCGAATTTGAATGAATACCTATATGGAAAGGTGAAAATCCCGAAACCTGGAAAAACATTGAACATTTTTTCACAGTCTTTATATATTTCAAAACTTGATTGACAATTTTTACAATACTAAACATGTCAGTGTATATTTATGTTTATATTAAAGGTGCATATGAGCAATGGATGTTAAAAGTAGCAATGAGAGAGTGGGAGAAGTTTACATGTGTTCGATTTCACGAAGCCCGTCAATCGGATTCAAACTATGTCTACTTTCAAGATGGATTAGGGTAAGAAAATTAGACTGAAATGTTCATTTAAAGAGGTGTCTTACAGTCATTACTGGGTAATTAAAAAAACCATAACTATACATAATGTTGTTAAACCTTCATCTGATAACAAAACTATAGTCATCATGGTAATGAGCCTGTTTAAATGTCATTTAGTAGTAATAAGAATACATACAGGAGGAAGGATGCAATGTACTAATTCATGACAAAAAAAAATGTTTCACACACATGACAAAAGCCAAAGAATAGGAACAGCGTTTGTTTGCTGTTCCTCGTGTAAAATTCAGTGTGAGGCCTTCAACATAGCGCAACATTCATACCCGACTGCAAATTCAAGGCGACTCTTATCACGTTTTGCGTGATTCTTTATTGAATTTTGATAACGCTACAGCACCTGTTCATTGAAGGTCATAGGCGTACATTAATTTATTTTTTTCTGTATAAGACAAGTAAATCTTGTGAACTTGATACATATTACAATTTTGATAAACTCACCAAAAGAGAAAATGTGTAAAAGTAAATACATTATTAGAAGTGAGTCAAAATTTATTATCTGTTATTTATTAACCTACAGACTTTTTCTTTTCAAGATGCAATTCTCAACTTGGTATGGTTGGAGGCGGGCAAATTCTTAACCTAGACAAAGGCGGTTGTAGATTTGTAAGTACTTTGAACTCATGAATTTGACCCTTATTACTGTAGTAAACATATATACCATATGTGGCACTCATACCACATCTCATTATTTTTATGTATACCATATGTGACAATCATACCACATCGCATTTTTTATTTCTAAATCAAATTATTGTATTACCATTTTTCATTTTCCTGGACTTTGCTTTTTTATAAATTATATTAACTAGTTATTTTCTTGCATTTTTCACAGCTTCAAAAATTTTTCAAATTGCGGTGTCATTATTTGATTTCATGCCATTGATTTTCTGGAACACAATCAATTCTAAAGTGTGAAAAAAATCCAAATTTCAAGACCAAGATTAAAGTTAAATGGTAATTCGTTTCATGTTTAAATGTTTAAGCCGTTGCAATAACCGTATAACATGAATGTATTGTAACGGTAAGAAACGGTTAATGTTTATGTTTGACTGAAATTTAAACTGGACAATAGCCATCTGAAGGAATGACATAATTTACAACCGGTAAACAACGAAATAATTGTTAGCTAAATAAAAAGTCCGACGAAACGGTCAACACTATATCTATTGTCACAGTGCTCAAAATATTAGAACTTTATTTTCTTTTACAGAAAGGCTTATATCTACACGAAATTGCACATGCTCTTGGAGTAGTTCATGAGCATCAACGTCCTATACGTGACAACTACATCACTATTCTTTATCAAAACGTAGAACCAAGCATGAAAATATGGTTTCAGAAGTACAATCCAGCTGCTATAAAAAGTCATAATGTAGATTATGAATTATCTTCCGTTATGCATTATGGAGTTAAGGTAAGTTAGAATTCTTCTTACGGTGCTGCGTGCTAATTCCAAAAGCACTAGAATATGGATATATTTCAGCTTCAACCATATTTTTGCAAAAAGTATACATACACAATAAAAAGCATTTATATGTATTGTATTTCAATATACAGTATAAAGCCGATTTAAATTTAATTATTATTATGCAATTGAACTCAATAACCAGCCTTATTCAAATCAGACTTCACAACTGCTTTAAAAGTACATTTTTATTCTACCATGACAAATTACTCTCAAAATTTGTTTACTAACTTACCTTATTTCAGATTTCTGTTGTGTTCTTTTCAGGCTTTTTCTGGGAATCAACAACAAACAATCCGTGCCAAAGATCAAACAAGAGAAAGTGAAATTGGCCGGGTGTATGCCAAAGAATTGTCCTTCACTGACGTAGAAATAGTAAACAGAATGTATAATTGTGTTAAAGAAACTTCAGGTAAGAGTAAAAAGAATGTATACATGTAGACAATACTTTTAGATATTTGGATGATATTTTGGCTCTCAATAATGACGACTTCAGTATGTATACTAAAGAAATTTATCCTGTTGAACTTACTTTAAATAAAGCTAATACTAACAATGACCACTGCCCTTTCCTCGATCTTGATATCTATATCATTAATGGAAAGCTTAATACTAAAATATATGATAAAAGAGATGATTTTTCATTTCCTATCGTTAATTATCCATTTTTAGATGGTGACGTTCCCTTGTCACCATCTTACGGTGTTTATATATCTCAACTTGTACGATTCGCTCGTGTATGTAACAATGTTTTAGATTTTAACGAGAGAAATTTATGTATTACTGAAAAATTATTACACCAGGGTTTTCGATATCACAAACTAGTCAAAACATTTACTAAATTTTATCATCGGTATAAGGACATCATTCGTAAATATAGCTCAACATGCAGACTTCTTATACGTTCAGGTATTTCACATCCAATTTTTTATGGAAATATCCTTTATTAAACACAAAAATGTCAGTATTCACCTCTGAAGCTAACAAAACCTTTAAATAGACTTATTAAGAAGGGATATAGTTACGATACTGTTGTCAGGTCATTAAAGATTGCATATTTTGGCGTTAATATTGATTCACTTATAGGGTCTTTGCATCGGCAATAAACACATTTATTTAAAAACCAGTTGTTGGCATGACACGGGTTATGTTCTTCTCATATATGTTATGACGGTATGATACTAAACCCCTAACGGGAAGGATTGTGCCTGATATTCATATGATGAAGACATAATCTTTCAATCAGTTTAATTGAAGTCTGGAGCTGGCATGTCAGGTAACTGCTAGTAGTCTGTTGTTATTTATGTATTATTGTCATTTTGTTTATTTTCTTTGGTTACATCTTCTGACATCAGACTCGGACTTCTCTTGAACTGAATTTTAATGTGCATATTGTTATGCGTTTACTTTTCTACATTGGCTAGAGGTATAGGGGGAGGGTTGAGATCTCATAAACATGTTTAACCCCGCCGCATTTTTGCGCCTGTCCCAAGTCAGGAGCCTCTAGCCTTTGTTAGTCTTGTATTTATTTTTAATTTTAGTTTCTTGTGTACAATTTGGAGTTTAGTATGGCGTTCATTATCACTGAACTAGTATATATATTTGTTTAGGGGCCAGCTGAAGGACGCCTCCGGGTGCGGGAATTTCTCGCTGCATTGAAGACCTGTTGGTGACCTTCTGCTGTTGTCTGTTCTATGGTCGGGTTGTTGTCTCTTTGACACATTCCCCATTTCCATTCTCAATTTTATGTGTATATGAATCTTCAGTTATAGCAAACAAAACATATCAATGTGTAAATGAACCGTCAGGTAATAGTAAACATAATTGTATTCAGGCGGAAACCCAGTTGAAATAGAACAAAAGAATCGAAGCTCTTTGTTAGAGAAGGCGATAAATGCTTACTGTAATGTTTACTATAGTAACAAAAATTAAAAAAATTAATAGAAACAAATAAAATTACAGTTTTCGGCTAAATTACGAAGTATTTTATCATAAAAACACCATTTGCATAAGTTTTCAATTTATCTATTACATAATTAAGCAGAACAATTAGATATCAAGTCCACGACATGGGTGTCTATTCAGTTGGATCTAAAAAATGCATAACCTCCAATTTAAAAAATAAAAATACCACGGACAGAGAACATATCAATCTATTTGTTCCTTAATTTTCGCTTCTGCCCTTCCATTATGTGACTCAAGAAATAATTCCAAAAAATGGAAACAATTGCATCGAAAAGAGAAAATCGAGTGCACCTTTTTATGTTAGGGCGTGTTTGAGTTGAATATTTGTCTTGAAAACGTAAAAAGCAAAAGTATTTGATACATCATCTCGCTTCAGATTCTATCATTTTTATATATCAAGGCTACAGGTTGACTTTATAACATCGAAAATACACAGTACTAAAAAAAGAAATATATGGGTCAAGTGAAATACCTTTCTAATGAATCACAGAAACAGAATAGGTGTGTTCGAATAGCAAATGTTTACTAAAAATACTTGACGACAGACTTTTAAGTTGGATCTTAAAAATGCATATCTTCGAAAAAACTTCATTTTTTGTGTGTGATATCTAGGGTTTATAGTCTTCAACCACTGAAAATTTTTAGTCTGCCCTTCCACGAAATATTGAATTAGAATTTTTTTAGATGTTTATGAATTTTCGAAAATTCCACCTGACAACCGATCAGACAATAGTTTTAAGTTGACTGAATGTAGACAAGTACATTAACTGATGCTCATTAGCTAGTAGATACATTTGTCTTTTAAAATACAACTGGCATATAAGGATCGTAATGGTGCTATGTGGATAAATTTATCGGTTTTCAAGAGCTAAATTGGCAGCGCGTCATCCCTACAATGGCTTCCATTTTTACAATCAATCGTAAAAATGAACTGGCGTAATGGGGAGATAATTTTGACAGAGTAGAATCCTGACTGTATTAATGTGTACACGAACCATCGGGGAATAGTAAACAGAATGTACAAATGTGTACATAAACCGTCAGGTTATAGTAAATATAATGTACAAATGTGTACATAAACCGTCAGGTTATAGAAAACAGAATGTACAAATGTATACACGAACCATCAGGGAACAGTAAACAGAATGTACAAATGTGTACACGAACCATCAGGAAACAGTAGACATAATGTATAAATGTGTACATGAACAATCAGGAAACAGTACTGTAGACACAATGTATAATGTGTACATGAACCATCGGGAAATAGTAAACAATGTATGAACATGTACAAGAAATATATACATTAAATATGCGTCTCAGCTAAGAAATGACTTTAACATGCCATGGCGTTGTCAGTTTGTTTTCGACTTATGAGTTTGAATGTCCCTTTGGTATCTTTCGTCTCTCTTTTAACCAAACGTAGTATGTCTTTTAGAGGTTTAGAGGGTTAGGGCTTGTGAATAAAAATGAAACCATATGGTGTAAAAGCGAAACACATGGTTTTTTTTGCTTGTTAGCGTACTTTTGTTTATTCGTAAACTACGATATACGTGCAGTTTTGGAGATTTTGGTTAGTTTTTCAGATAGTTTTAAGTTATAAGTGAATTCAAATTTAGTTGTATGTTTCTCAATTTATAAGGTTTTTATTTTTACAAAGAGTATGTCAAATGTAGTAAATGATCAGAAATCTTTTTTTTTTTCTTTATAGAAGGTGTTGTTAGCACTAACTTGATAATTTCTTTAATATGTATTTAATACAATTTTTAGAGATATTGGTTGATTAAGAACTGGACATATTGAAAAGATATTTGTCTGTTGTTGAAAATTCCATATTGACCGCTAGATTTTGTTTTTGTGTTGGTCTGTTCTGTTCTGTTCATGACTTTTGTTTTTCGTTGCCAAATTCAGTTGAATTAAGTTTTATGAACATGTATAGGAGGTTTTGGTAGCCTCTGTGGTTTTATTTAGGAACACAACTTTTTTTAAATTTCAAATGCCAACGTGTGATTTGTTGTTTCTAAGTAATTCACTGCATGGTACAATTGATTCTTTTGTCAAATTATTATTGCCGTTTCCTGCTTTGCTATTGTAAATACATGAAAAAAAGCAACAATGCATTGAAATTTCACATGAAATCACACAATTTTAGGAAATGATTACAAAAGAATATGAATTTACCTATACATCGTAAAAAATATCAAAGTAATAAATTTGAGTATTGCATCTTAAGAAATATGGCATTTCAAAGTTAGTTCATTCAACAACAATTGCAGTGAATCTAAATGTAGGTAGAAAAAATACTTATAATTGTGTGTTTTAGAGTGTGGTGGTGTGACCTGTGCAGGAAAGGGTTATCTTGATCAGAATTGTAACTGCATATGCCCTGATGGGTCACAAGAATGTACCAGCGGAACAACACGGGATACATGTAGGTACCAATTTTACGTTTGCGAATGATATATCAATAAAAGAAGAAATATGGACAGTGCATATCCTATTATATGAGCTCAGCAGTTGTGTGAATTTCCAAAGCACAGTCTTTTAGAGAAACACCTAATTAAAAAAAATGTCATTCGTGTGACTTGATAGGAAAAATAAAAATAAATCAATATATGGCAGTAAATGTGATTATTACTTCAAAAATATCGTCTATAGAGTTTTCAAGATTGTTTTCCCTCCGCACATGTTGTTGTATTATAATGTTACGTAATTTGTGCTCTTACCTTTAACTATTCCGAAATCAACAATGTATGGTATGAGTGCAACAAAACAAAACAAATAAACTAATCGATAGACATCTAGAGATCAAAATACAGATGTTGATGCACTACTCGAGTCTAACATTTTTATTAGATTAAACAGAAACTATCAACATCTTATTCTCTAGATGGAAAAAAAATAAGTATGATTTAAAACAGCAACGAATGAGAAACGTGACTTGGGACAGGCCCATGCATATGTTGTGCAGCTAAACTATTTAATTTTAAATATCAGCGCCCCCCTTCCCTTTAACCTCGATCAGTAGACTGAAAAAAGGAACGCAAATTAAATTTTAAGCAATAAGATAAAACTATCCGGTAACACCTAATACATATGATTTTTTAAGAATAAATATAACCAACTTCAATTAAAAAGTCTATATTGTATACAAATTGTCCTCGAACTCATAGATCATACCTCGTATTTGTCAAATTTCAGCTGTTAGAAATAATGCAAGGACCGATAGAGAAAACTGGCAGTGTTACATATGGTCACGACAAGGTGAATGCCAAAGGAATCCAGGTTATATGAATTCCAACTGTGCAAAAGCATGCGCTCAAGAAAAGAAAAACGCACAAGGTAATTTAAGTAAGAAATACTGCAACAAGACGGGTGTCACAAGTGGAGCAGGGTTTGTTTACCCTTCCGGGGGTTTTTGGTAAGATTCGTGTTTCTATTATTTTGTAGACTGTTGTTTTGATTTTCGTCGTATTTCGTTTTTTTGCCATGTTATTGTCGAATTTTCTTGGACTAATGATTTTTTTTTGCTCCTTTCGTATCGTCTGTCTCTGTTTTCAATCAGGTTATATACAATCATCAATGTTTTATGAAGATTTAGAAAATATCTTCTGAATTAACTGAAAATTCTGTTAATGATGCCGTAATTGAATACGTAATACAGTAATTCATGTGTATACAACCGAATGATACAGATGTCCATGCCTGCCTTTGACAACAACTGAATGAAACAGATGTCCATGACTGCCTATGACAACAACCGAATGATACAGATGTCCATGCCTGCCTAGGAAAACAACTAAATGATACAGATGCCCATGCCTGCCTGTAACAACAATTGAATGATACAGATGTCCATGTCTGCCTTTGACAACAACTGAATGAAACAGATGTCCATGCCTGCCTGTAACAACAATTGAATGATACAGATGTCCATGTCTGCCTTTGACAACAACTGAATGAAACAGATGTCCATGACTGCCTAAGACAACAACCGAATGATATGGATGTCCATGCCTGCCTGTGACAACAACCGAATGATACAGATGCCCATGACTGCCTGTGACAACAACCGAATGATACAGATGTCCATGACTGCCTAAGACAACAACCGAATGATACAGATGTCCATGCCTGCCTGGAAAACAACTGAATGATACAGATGCCCATGCCTGCCTGTGACAACAACTGAATGAAACAGATGTCCAAGACTGCCTAAGACAACAACCGAATGATATGGATGTCCATGCCGGCCTTTGACAACAACCGAATGATACAGATGTCCATGCCTGCTTTTGACAACAACTGAATGAAACAGATATCCATTACTGCCTAAGACAACAACCGAATGATATGCATGACCATGCCTGCCTTTGACAACAACTGAATGAAACAGATGTCCATTACTGCCTATGACAACAACCGAATGATACAGATGTCCATGCCTGCCTAGGAAAACAACTGAATGATACAGATGCCTATGCCTGCCTTTGACAACAATTGAATGATACAGATGTCCATGTCTGCCTTTGACAACAATTGAATGATACAGATGTCCATGACTGCCTGTGACAACAACTGAATGAAACAGATGTCCATGACTGCCTAAGACAACAACCGAATGATACAGATGTCCATGCCTGACTGTGACAACAACCGAATGATACAGATGCCCATGACTGCCTGTGACAACAACCGAATGATACAGATGTCCATGACTGCCTAAGACAACAGCCGAATGATACAGATGCCCATGACTGCCTAAGACAACAACCGAATGATACAGATGTCCATGACTGCCTAAGACAACAACCGAATGATACAGATGTCCATGTCTGCCTTTGACAACAACTGAAAGAAACAGATGTCCATGACTGCCTAAGACAACAACCGAATGATATGGATGTCCATGCCTGCCTTTGACAACAACTGAATGAAACAGATGTCCATGACTGCCTATGACAACAACCGAATGATACAGATGTCTATGCCTGCCTGGAAAACAACTGAATGATACAGATGCCCATGTCTGCCTTTGACAACAACTGAATGAAACAGATGTCCATGCCTGCCTGGAAAACAACTGAATGATACAGATGCCCATGCCTGCCTGTGACAACAACTGAATGAAACAGATGTCCAAGACTGCCTAAGACAACAACCGAATGATATGGATGTCCATGCCGGCCTTTGACAACAACCGAATGATACAGATGTTCATGCCTGCCTTTGACAACAACTGAATGAAACAGATATCCATTACTGCCTAAGACAACAACCGAATGATATGCATGACCATGCCTGCCTTTGACAACAACTGAATGAAACAGATGTCCATTACTGCCTATGACAACAACCGAATGATACAGATGCCTATGCCTGCCTTTGACAACAATTGAATGATACAGATGTCCATGTCTGCCTTTGACAACAACTGAATGAAACAGATGTCCATGACTGCCTAAGACAACAACCGAATGATACAGATGTCCATGCCTGCCTGTGACAACAACCGAATGATACAGATGTCCATGACTGCCTAAGACAATAACCGAATGATACAGATGTCCATGTCTGCCTTTGACAACAACTGAAAGAAACAGATGTCCATGACTGCCTAAGACAACAACCGAATGATATGGATGTCCATGCCTGCCTGTGACAACAACCGAATGATACAGATGTCCATGCCTGCCTTTGACAACAACTGAATGAAACAGATGTCCATGACTGCCTATGACAACAACCGAATGATACAGATGTCCATGCCTGCCTGGAAAACAACTGAATGATACAGATGCCCATGCCTGTCTGTGACAACAATTGAATGATACAGATGTCCATGTCTGCCTTTGACAACAACTGAATGAAACAGATGTCCATGCCTGCCTGGAAAACAACTGAATGATACAGATGCCCATGCCTGCCTGTGACAACAATTGAATGATACAGATGTCCATGACTGCCTTAGACAACAACCGAATGATATGGATGTCCATGCCTGCCTGTGACAACAACCGAATGATACAGATGTCCATGACTGCCTTAGACAACAACCGAATGATATGGATGTCCATGCCTGCCTGTGACAACAACCGAATGATACAGATGATCATGCCTGCCTTTGACAACAACTGAATGAAACAGATGTCCATGACTGCCTATGAAAAGAACCGAATGATACAGATGTCCATGCCTGCCTGGAAAACAACCGAATGATACAGATGTTCATGCTTGCCTATGACAACAACCGAATGATACAGATATTCATGTCTGCCTGTGACAACAACCGAATGATACAGATGTTCATGCCTGTCTGTGACAACAACCGAGCCAAAAAACAAAAAGTTGCATAATCTTTTTTAGAAACTCTTTTCTTCTTCATTGGATTCTCCTTCCAAAAGACGAGGATGTGAAACATTGTAATCTTAATCTAATTATTTTAAGTATAACTGGGTTTAACTTAACTATTTCAGGACAAAATGGTTTGTGCGAAAACACATACGATGATGCCACTTGTGACAAATGGAAGAATGAAGTTGGTGATTGTAGAGTTGCTGAACATTTTATGAGAAAGAACTGTAGAAAGACTTGTGGTTATTGCAATGACTTCACCGCTAACCGTACACCTCCACAGAGTAAGTACATTGACTAAATAATTTTAGACTTTAAACATGTTCAGTGCCAGAATATGTACAATCGCATCACATGTTAAAGATTATTGTAGTTACAAGTTAAGAACTCAAAACCAATTTATCATTTCCAAGATTATGATTTTTATCAATGAATAATTTCAGAATAATTATTTGAAAAATTCGCATTCACATGGTTTATGAAAGGCAAAGGTCACTAACACATAATTTTGTAAATTTAATAAGAGTTCAATTTAAACAACATTTTTTTTAAAGTTTTAAAAGTAGTTTTTCGGAACGAGTTTTATAAAGGTTTTAAAAGACTCTGATTGATCTGAGCTTGGTATGAAAATTGTCCTATGTTTTCTTTTCCAAATCGTAACAGTTTTGATTTAGTCTTGATTTAATTTGCATGTCTATCTCTAGTGGATAAATCTGGTCTCGCTCTGTTTGGACGTAATAAGTTTCCATTAGCTTTTTTCTCTTGGTTTGTATCCACAAAATGTTTTTAATCTAAACGGAAAGTCAGTTCCTTTTTGCTAAGCATGTAACACTAGAAAAACGGCCAAAACCGTCTAGCTCGGAGTCAGAATCATATGTCCCAGTAAGTGATATGTCTCATGCGAACTCGAATTAAATATCTTTTTTCAGCTCGAACGTGAAAAAAATTCAACTCTGCGTATCCGTCTCGTATTTATTTTTAAGTGTTCACCAAATTTTTCGACCATTTTCACAAATTTTACAATGATTTGAACGCTTTCAAGGATTTTTGCAAAAACAAATAAGTCGCACCTGGTCTTTCACGATCCTTTTCGCGATCATTAAAAAGTGGTACCCGATCTTTTTTTTTATAATTATTCCAGTTTTTGCAAACTCTTTGTTTTAGCTTCTACAATAAAAATTTAAGAAAAGTAAGAAAGAATGACATTGTACAGATAATGATTATTTAGTCATTCATATTTTGACAAAAATCATGTGGGTTTACATTATTTTATGATATTGAAAAGTTGATCAGCAATTTGCCTTTTTACACTTAGATTTTTCTCAGATACTGATCATAATGTTGAACCATGTTGACCGACAGATTTATTTTTTTCCAATATGTGTCTAATAATTCAATGAATTAGATTAAATACTGACCTTGCATGTGTCCTTTTAAGGAAATGCCTGTACCAAGTCAGGAATATGACAGTTGTTTTCTATTCGGTTGATGTGTTTGAGCTTTTGATTTTACCATTTTATAAAGGACTTTCCGTTTTGAATTTCCCTTGGAGTTCGGTATTTTTGTTATTTTACTTTTTTCGATAATAAACCTGTATAATTCAGGATCCGATACTAGATCTTGCACGATCCTTTCACTAAACTTGACCACCTTTACTTATTCTTTCACGATCATTGTTCTCGGTAGACTTTAAAATTACAGATGTGCAATTTAGTTGATGTATACTTAGACAGAAGCTGTAAACTTCGAAAAAGAGGATGATACATTTCATTTCTAATTTCAGCCCAGTGTATGAATGCTCATACTAATGACACGGCTTGTGAAGTATGGGGCAGGAAAGGAGAATGTATTATAAATGACAGATGGATGCCACTGAACTGTAGAAAGGCGTGCTTTACATGTCCATTTGATGAACAAACTGTTAATACAGTCAAACCATCAGGGTCAACTACTCCTACACGAAGACCAATGACAACTCGGCCACCAACTAGACCTCCTGTTATCACCACACAACCAACAACTAGAAAACCAGTCGGTAAGATAGCATTTTTTTACAATTCTCAAAACGATAGTTCAATTTTTTTCTCTCAAAAATATGAAATTTGTGTTAATAATCTTATTTTGAACAATTTGAAATATAAAAATTGTGTTTATTAAGAAGCAATTTGTCAGCATGAAATTCATTAATAATTTACAAATAACAATTTTTTCTTGTTTTCCAGATGATTGTGTCAACCGTTATCCAGATAAAGATTGTGATGTTTGGGCACGGTACAAACATTGCACAATAAATCCCACTTTTATGGAAGCTAATTGCATGCGTTCCTGTAAGGTATGCCAGGATAACGATGGTAGAGTTGGCGTTACAAAAAATCCAGGTATGTCCAAAATAAAACGGTTAGGATTCTCTTGCAGATTCAATGAGTCCAAGTTACCTAAAACGGTAACAATCTCATTATTGATACTTTTCTGCTTTTATTTGCTGATTTTGAACTGTTATTATCGTTTTATAAATGAACTCAAATGCTGCTAGTATGATAAATATCCAACAATATAATATATATATTTAACCTTGCATACATTAGCTGCAAAGTTGTCCACTAAATTGTTTGGCACATATAGTTCTTAAAAACAGTTATTATGATGCTTTAAGTCTTACTTTGAGCATACTGTGTTATTTTTGAGTCTTTACTCTTCCATTTTAAGGACATAAGATACAGAAAAGATCTCTCGTTTATTTTCCTTAACACTATGACACAAGGTCAATTTTGATATGCACTATTGAAATATGCAAAGAAAAACATACCATTATGACCACTTTTTTTTAGATATTTCAGTTTAAAATTTGCATGTTTCATGAAAAAACACAAAATTTCATTTTTCAATACTTTTACGAAAAAATAACACAACTTTTTAACTGAAAAAAAATATTCTCACCCAGTGTTTTGCAAAGTGTTCCTTAATTTATTGAGATGAAATTTTAATGCGATAAAATGTCTGCAAAATCATACGTAATAAAAAGCCGTAGATAATTTTCTTGCTAATACAAATGGATGTAGACATAATTCTATCGTTAATTTTTTTCTTCCAATTTTGATACACTATAGACTAAAATACTATAATATTCTTGAAGTAGTACATAGTCGATTGCAAAAGCAAAAAATGCGGTTTCGTGTTCTCAATTAGCAAAGAAATAGAAAACCTTTTTTTTTAAATGCTGGAGATCCCATTTCCCCTTTTTTGGCGCTAAAATTAAAACAAGAAAAGAGGTTATCTTAATATTACAAAAGTAAGTTGCATGTAATGTTGATTAAAAAGGTAACGTAACCTTATTACAGTAATAGAATCAAATGTCATGATTTAATTTATACTTTTAGTCATAAGTAACTGTAAAGACACATGGACAAGTCCCGAAATGTGTCCGATCTGGGCAGAACATCAACATTGTGTCATTAATCCAAGTTTCATGCTGAAACGCTGTGCAAAGTCTTGTAGAAGATGTACAACAGGTAAATATATATTTGAGATGAAAACAAATACTCTTCAAAACTACAAGGTTTGCATAAAAAATAATAAATAAAAACTTTTCCTTTAATATCAACCTAAATATTTAGCACAAGGACATGTACAAGAGTAGATGGAAGTACGTTCTAAATACTTGTTAAAATTACAAAGCATGTTCAATGAAAAGGCCTTATTGGAAAGTTTTATTCAAATTTGCTTGTCATTGATAACTTTCAATTTATATTTTCATCATGGTGCTCCGAGAATGTATAAAAGCGCAATTTACTATTTCAATGGGCGAGACAACCCTTCTGATCTTTTTGACTTGTATAGATTAGTAAACGTAATTTAATATTCAAATACAATTAGTGTCACCTCTTACCTTATCAAAGTAACTGTTATATTAAGTTTAAATGTAGTCTAATTGACACTACAAGATCACAAAAGTCATGCACATTGATATTCAGATATCACCACCAGAACTATTTTCCATCAACAAACATCAAATCTTTTAGTCACGCAACTAGTTTGAAGTACTAGTATTTGGTATTGATAACCTGTCACAGTTCTGCTTTCACATTGGAATATAACTCTTTTATATACACTTCTATTCCTGATAATTCTAGCTTTTCCGATTTTCTTAGTATTGAATAAATGATAAGAATAAGATTATTGCAATTGCTCTATAATAACTGTTTCGATAAAATTAATGCTCTAAAGGAATTCATAATGCAACGTTGACGAGCAGGTTTTGCCTATGAGCAAACTGAAAATTCCAAGCCTCTATCTTCCTAAAAGCACACTAACAAGATTTGTAAATATTCTTTTCCACTGTATTTTTGATACAAAGTGACTTGACTTCAAATTGCAATGCATCTCAGTGTGAAAGGTGTAATTTAATTTAATCAGTGAAAATACATCCATGTGCTAAACCAAATTGTTTTTGTACCCTGACAAGATTAGCTCATTAAGTAAATACGGAATACATAACCGCCTTCACTTGGGTATTATGTATGTTTGTCACATTAATGATTTTAAAACAACTTAAGTAATTTTGGAGAAAAAACACTTTCATGTAATTTTCATTCTAGGTTTAAGGCAAGCCGCAGAACAAGTCGTTCAAGAAAACACAGAGAACAATGCAAGAACACTCATAGGAACTCTTTATAGTTTATCTTTGATGCTTTTATTTTTATTCATTGTTGTTTAATAAAAATATGTATGTATATATCTTGAATATTTTATCCTGTATTAGCATTCTAGTGTACAAATAATAGACACACAAATAAATGCTAGCTTTACTTGAATAAATAAAGTCTTCTGTTACACCGCTTCCATATAAAAGAAACGTTAATGTGAATATTTTGTTTTTTGTGTGACAGTTCATTGTGGGGTCTTGTTCAGGCTCAAACTTTGTCAATTTCTTTGAAAAAAGCAGAGACAACTATTTTGATTTAAAAAACAAAACCTTAAAGTGCAGGGTGTAAATACAGGATAAAAAACAAAATGTGTACATTGTCTTACACCCCAGTTCTATTGTTATACTTCATAATTTCTATTTCTGAAACAAGTGTGAATTGAATAGATCTATTGTTACGAAAAACAATGGATTTTGACCACAGGGTGTGACGAGCGGGGTTTCTGGAAACCCCTGCTTCTACATCCCGCAAACAAAGTCCATTGTTATTCGTAACAATAGAAATTGATTATGAACATAAGAAATTACTAATAGTGTTCACTTCAAATTGTTTCATGATATTAAAAAAAAACACATTTTAGGAAATTCCAATAAGCATCTATATGGAATACAAAAATAATCCTTCAAATACTTTTTTGCTTGAAGGTAATTTTTTTTTATCCCAGTCATATGGTCTCTATTCTAAAGCATTGATCTTTAAAAAAAGAATTGGGATTCTAGCTCCCGGACCCCCCTCCCCCGGTTACCCAGTGGCCGATCCGGGGTTGGGGGTTCCGCGGGTTGGACCCGACTTTTATTTAAAAGATCAATGCATTTGAATGGTTGGGCCCCCCTTTCTCTTGAGTTGGGAACCCCCGGCTGGATCAGCCCCTGATTGCCCCCCCAAAAAAAGGGGTAGTTCCTCAATATTAAATATTGTATGTTGAGCGTGTCTGGTAGTCGGGTTTCTAATGCAGACACACCTATTCCTTAGTATGTTCGAATATGAATCGGTTTGTTTATTCTCGAGATGAGGGGGGGGGGGGGGGATTTCGTTTTTGATAAAATCATAAGATATAAAATACAGTTATGATTACCTTTATTAGACTGATACAGGTAAGTACTTTGGGTTATAATATTGCCTTTATCTTTAGTCTCTTCTACCAAATCCAACGCTTGCCACAGAATGTCGTCCGTCTTATACCCGTCCATATTGACAACTGTATACCAGGAGCATGATGTAATTTTTTGTTTGTAATAAGAATACACGAAACAGTCAACCTTGACCTGCTGATCCATATTAGCACATGGATTTAACGTGAATATGCAAAACAACTTTGACATTTGTAAAATATACTCACTTGTCAAAGTTTGAACAAAGATAGCCAAAGAAAGGTTACTAGTGGGGTTTCATGTAATAAAAAAATATTCTTATAAATCATGGTTTGATATTATCAATAAATATGCTATCGTTTTTTTTTTCGGGATACGGTGTGTCTGGATAAGAAACCCCTCCGGCCTCCGGCCGACGGGGTTTCTTATCCAGACACACCTATCCCTCGGTGTATAACTATTACGGAGATATGAAATTTATTTGTACTCGCTAGGAAACAGGAAAAAGTTCAGCGAGTCATGAAAACCTCGTACAAACAATTATCATATTTTCCGACAATGGACATATACTGTATATATATTGCTATCATTGACTAATTTATCTTTGGTGCTGTTATTGTTATTGATTATTGTTTAATAAAATATGTAAAATTGTAAAATATATGTATGTATATATCTTAAATATTATAATACTATCTGAGCAATAAGGTGAGTGTAACAATCGATGCAAGATAATTATGATAGTCCTTCTTAAGCACATATAAGTTCCTTCATTATTGGAATTCTTAGAGAGTTACGTTAAGTTTTCATTTTTGTCTGTTGTTTACGATAAATCATGTGATCATCTCTGACACACGTTTCTCAGAAACAGTTAACCCTCACGGAGCATTTAAGTAAATCCCCGGTTTTTGGTTGGGTTCAAGTGTTTTAATCTTTAGTTTTGATATGCTGTGTTTCATGTCAGTTGCTTGTCTGTTATGTTGTCATAGGCCATGGTTTTATGGTTCCTCAATTTATGGTTTCTGACTGCCATCTTGGTATCTTTTTTCTTAATTCAATCTTTCAGTCTAAAACAACTTACTAAAGGGCTTAATTTGAAATACGAAGCACATGTGAAATTCACTAACATGTAAAATACTTTCATGGATAATAAAGTGCTTGATAAAAAATGAAATGTAAAATAGCGTACAAGATAAGAATTAAGAAGATGTGGTATAATTGCCAATGAGACAACTCTTCTCCAGGGACAAAATGACATAGAAGTAAACAACTATAGGTTACCAAATGGACTTCACATTCTGTATGTATGTGCCTGTCCCAAGTCAGGAGCCTGTAATTCAATGGTTGTCGTTTGTTTATGTGTTACATATTTGTTTTTTGTACATAAATTAGGCCGATATATAGTTTTCTCGTTTGAATTGTTTTACATTGTCATTTCGGGGCCTTTTATAGCTGACTGTGCGGTATGGGCTTTGCTCATTGTTGAAGGCCGTACGGTGACCTATAGTTGTTAATCTCTGTGTCATTTGGTCTCTTGTGGAGAGTTGTCTCATTGCCAATCATACCACATCTTCTTTTTTATATTCAACAATTAGCAAAACCTATACCGCATAATCAGCTATAAAAGGCCCCGAAATGATAAATGTAAAACAATTCAAACTAGAAAACTTATGGCCTGATTTGTGTAATTACAATGAATGAAGTACAAATATGATATACAACAAACGACTACCACTGAATTACAGGCTCCTGACATGGGACAGGCACATACAGAATGTGGAGGGGTTAAACATGTTTGCGGTCGCCCAACCCTTCCCTAACCTGGGACAGTGGTATATCAATACAACATTTGAACAAACGAGGAAAATCAATTGAAAAGGGCTTAGGTCATCAGATCGATACAAAGCAGGAAAACATGTAACAAAAACACAGACCGGACGTGGCAGGGTATTTATACATCCCTACAACAAAAAAGAGTCCACATAGTTTTTCTAAATGTGTGTATTGTTTGTTTATTTTACAACGAGCTCTTGGGTATATTATGTCAGTATGGGTGCAATCAACAGTTTTTTTCTATGACGTCATATTTTAAGGGACCATGTCTAAGTGACCCTTAGTGGTGGAATGGTTAATAAAGATACTTGTATAAAACTAGATATCACTGGAATCAGAATTGTCTCTAGTTTATATTGAAATAAAAATATAGTGTACTTTTAGTATAGTAAAAAAGTTCTATCCAGAGAAAATGGGGAAAAAGTTGCCTAATCTGAACATAAAAAACCTGAAATCAGCTCATGTGCATACCCATGTAAACATGATACAGGCACATTTCCCATAATCAAAACTGTATGAAATTCATAGGTTTTTACCTGGCCTTTAATAAAAATCATGTTTCAGGGTACGGTTTCCTGCTTCGAAAAGAGCTACAGTGGCTGCAAATAAGTTTTCAATTTTCACTGCCAAAACAACAGGATGTTTACAGTGTTGTCTCCCCTCAAAACATGTATATTTAATCTAATTTTTAAAATTATTTTAATCATTTAACCTGTTTAAATTGAAAGCTAATTAACTAATTTATACAATCAAATACAAAAAACATGATACTTTTTCACCAATTATATGAATAAAAAGGGATTTCCCTCCATGGTTATTTTTAGTCGGGGAATAACCCCTAGTTTTTTATACGAAACTGTTTATAGCACCCTATATCTTAGATTTCTTTGCCAGTTATATTCTGAAATGAGTGTATTCTCGCCTTCATCTGTATAAATTAATGAGATGTGGTGTGATTGCCAATGAGATAACTATCCCCTTATAAAGGATATATGTGGTGTGATTGCCAATGAGATAACTATCCCCTTATAAAGGATATATGTGGTGTGATTGCCAATGAGATAACTATCCCCTTATAAAGGATATATGTGGTGTGATTGCCAATGAGATAACTATCCCCTTATAAAGGATATATTAGATGTGATGTTGAAAAATAGAATAAAAGCAACAGCAAATTACGAAAAGATGTTTAATCACATCAATATCTTTGAGATATAATGTTAAAATACATATTTTGGGTAACTATGTTATGTTGCTCATATTAAAACATTTATTACTAGCTTTCGAAATACGGCTCTTTTTGTCAGTTTTCCTTGAAAATGAAAGTCTGCTGGCCTAAAGTAATTGGCCGTGCACAACAATAGACTAAATTATAGACTTAAAGTTTATGCCTTGTGATCACCTGAAGGGTGCAATTTGGGGAAACAAAAAAACGGTTAACCCCCTCCCCAAATTGAACCGATTGTAAGCTTAATCTTTTTAAAGTTACCGAATACAGAATGTCCTACCACAGACAAGGTATCCTGTTCAAAAACTTTATACTCCGTAGTCGAAGTCGGTAATAATAAAAAAAAAAGTCCATTGTGTCAAAAGAGGATAACCTGAAACAAATTCTGTTTAATTAGTAACTTCGCATTACAATATGTATAAATAATATAGGCTTAATATCTGTAAAAAGGACAGACAACAAAGGTAAAAACAAAAAGGTTTAAGATTTTATTTTACTAAATGTAAAGGATTTTAGTGAATTAATACAGTGGCAGGTTCAGTGGGGGCATTAGGGTGTATGCCTTCCCCCTTCTGATCGGAAGATAAAAACATTTGGTACAAAAATCGTACCAAAAAATGTTCGCCTCGCTCCCCTCAGCATTTTTCAAGTTTGGATCTACCCATCAGCCCCTGTTAGGTCAACTAAAAAACACGCCAAATGTGATCTTTAACAATATCGAAACAAAACACTGTAAGTATAAATGGCTTTCGACCTAGTCATGCTAAAAGGTTTATGTGAAGAGCATTTAAGAGGGGTGATTGAGAACAAACTTTACGACAGAAGAGATGATTTCAGATTTCATATTGGGAACTTTCCATTTCTATATAGCAACATTGTAACAGAGCCTGCATATGGAGTATATCTCCTAGTTGGTATAATATTACAGAGTTTGCTTTACTCATCATGATTTACTTGACAAAGGTCTGCTGTTTACAAGGAAGCTATCAAATGAAGGGTTCTTAGTGGTAAAGTTGATTTGATTTGATTGATTGGTGTTTAACCCCACTTTCAACACTATTGTGCTATTTCGTGGCGGTCAGTTTTTATTGGTGGAGGAAGACGGAGTGCCCGGAGAGAACCACCGACCTGCGGTAGGAAAACTGACAATCTTAGTCAATTTAGATTGGAGTCGAGTGCACCTGCCACGTGCGGGTAAAGTTGAAGTCATCCCTTCGAAAGTTTTATGGGAGCCATCATGGTTTGGTTGACAGCTATTATGGGATATCTGTTTCACAGATGACCGCGGATGTTCCAGTAGTTATGGCCATTCTCCTGTCCCTTTTCCTTGATTGTGACAAAGACATAATACCGAATTCGCACTTCCAATGAGCAACTCAAAGAGTGCTACATGTAGAGCAGGATCGGTTGACCTTTTCTGGGTATCTGAGATCACCCCAGATTTTGGTGGGATTCATGTTGCACAGTCATTTATGTAATGTTTTGTAGATGAGTGTTATCTTTTGAACCACACGTCCAACTTTTAGTACACTTGGTATGACAATGCCTCTTGGTGTCGAGAATATCCCTATTGATTTTGGGGTCAATTAGTCAATGGTCAAGGTCAAAGCAGCTATTAAAAGACAGCAGTTTAGATGTCCTGATTTTATTTTTTTTAACTATATCCAACTTTTAATAAATTTGATAATCCCTCATGAGATGACAAAGATCCCTATCGATTTGATGTTTCTAGGTAAAAGTTCAAGGCCAATAGCAATTGGTAAACTGAAATTTGGACACAAATTTGTTTCCAACAAATTTTCTTGAAAAAAGGAAAAATAACAAAAATACCGAACTCCAAGGAAAATTCAAAACGGAAAGTCCTTTATCAAATGGCAAAATGAAAAGGACACGACTTTGAGTATTTGTTTGGTAAATAGGTGAAAGGTTAAGGTCCCAATACCCTTAAAAAGACTGAAATTTGTGAAAATGTTGTTTCGGGACAGTATCTTTTGATCTGCCAATCAGATCTTTTCTCTTATCTTTGGTTGATTTGATTTTGATTTTTTTGGTGTTTTAACGCCACTTTTAAGCACCGCTTTTGGGCTATTTCGTGGCGGCCAGTTTTTATTGGTGGAGGAAGCCGGGGTGCCCGGAGAAAACCACCGACCTTAGATAGGAAAACTGACAATCCTAGTCAATTAAGATTGGAGTCGAGTGCAGCCGCACGAGCGGGGTTCGAACTCACAACCTCAGTGTTGACTGGCTAGTGATTACAGTAGTAACTACTTAGACCACTCGGCCACCGAGGTCCCTTATCTTTGGTTGAAAAATGTACCTAGTAAAAAGTGAACAGACCCTTATTGAATTTAGGTCATTAGGTCGAATGTCAAGGTTACAGCAGCAATTTATAGACTGAAATTATGGCAATTTCTTATCATTTGACTCTGAAATTTGATATTCAGATTGCAATGAGACAACTCTCCATTCAAGTCACAATTTGTAAAAGTAAACCATTATAGGTCAAAGTACTTCAACACGGAGCCTTGACTCACATTGAACAGCAAGCTATAAAGGGCCCCAAAAATGATGATAACTAGTAAATCAGTGAAATCTAAACTATTAAGGAAAGAAAGCTGAATTTAATCATAAGCCACATTATATATGCAAACTTGACCAATGTTATCAGAATTTTCATACCCCTGTGGGATGGTAAGGTAGTTAAAAAACAATTATCGATTGAAATCTTAACCAATCTCTACAAGTTTAAAACACTTGAGTAACATGTCTAATGATTAAAAGAACTTCACTGATGGTGCAAGGCTTTTCCATGCGATCAAAATAGATGGTCTAAAAATCAAAAATTGTCATTAAACTTCAATCTCTCACATCACATGATCTGGATCATGACAATTGATATGTAATGAACATATTAAGATTTGTCTGTGCTAAAGGTTACACACTTTTAATGTTTGAGCCAAGTGCAGATTTATGTGTGAATTTTTTTTCATTTCCTGAAATATTGTAAAGTATATGGTGAATAAAGTTGATACTTGATTCATAACTTACTTTATATACAAAATATTTAACTGGCAGTGTTAGAACTTTTATATGGCCCCTGGAATGGTCTTTCACAATTATTACTATTTATGTAAAACTGGCACTGAGATAGGCAACTTGGCTGCCATTTTTCTTCCAAAAGCAGAATAGTGGGGTAATCTTTTGAAAGAATCACATTTAGCTGTCAAAAATATATGGAGTATCTTTTATACTGTATAAGTATACATTTGGAGTTAAAATATTTTGGGACAAAATTACTGACATCAAGTGATCAATGGCCAACTTTTCTCCTAGAGCTACCAAGCTCTTTGATTTTTCTCTATAATATACAGTGATAGAAGTAATATTTGTCTGGAGTAATAATTGTCTCAAGGTCATTAGAAAGTAAATGGGTAGTCAATTGGCAATCTGATTTGCTGTTATACAATTTGCTTAAAACATGTGCATGATGAACTCTTAATTTTCATTTTCAGTTGAAGTTTGAAGTTAGAGTACTATGTAAAATAAGATGTGGTATGATTGTCAACTAGGGAATTATCAACCAAAGTCCAATAAAGATATGTGACATGATTGCCAATGAGACAACTATCAACCAAAGTCCAAATGACATAGATTTAAGCAACTAATGACTGTACATCCTTCAACAATGAGCAAAACCATACCAAATAGTTAGCTTTAAATGTCTTGTACAACTCGTCATTAGTACAAAATACTGTGAACTGAAGCGAAACCTAGTTAGGATAATGGAGATATGACACAGACACTGAAATTTGAGTGAATAATAGAAAAAAATACAAATTACAAAGCCTTCAGGGAAAAATGCAAATATTTTTACACCAATGAATATATATGTTTGGCAATTTCTGTCATCTTTGTTACATATTATCTTAAAATATTTGGGGAGGGGGGGGGGGGGGGGGGGTCATAGAGGTATACCGGAAATCTCCTTAAACTATTGTAATCAATGATCTGAAAAAAGTCTTCATATACAAGTACCCGGTATATTTATTTTTCAACATTTTCATGTTTTACAAAAATAATATCACAATGCAGGAAATGCACAAAATACAATTGTAACAGTTACAAGATTCATACTTAAACATGTAAATATATCACAGTTTTCCATTAAACAGCACTAAAAGAAATAAATAATTTTTAAAAAACATACACTCATCAATATAACATATTCTATCATACAAACATACATCCTTATATCCATACATCCATATATTCAAACATACATACAAAATCCAAAAAGTCTCTGGTGCAAAGTATCTTGTTGAAATAAGTGATATCTACCTTTAAACATCACTTCAGCCTATTGTTAAATACTGTATTAGTATGATACTGATTTCAGTTAGCATAATCTTTGTCTGTGGAATAACCTTCATCATGAACACCTGAGGCCAAAGGTTTGGGAAGCCAAAAAATATCATTTAGGAGTATCCTAAACCAAAATAAATTCATGAGACTCAGTAAAATCATCTAAGTTTGCAGGAGGGAGATGCACCCTAACTTTTACTTTAATTACATAATTTATAAAAGGAAAATTTGTTGTCAAAATGTATTATTTAAAGCATACTAATAAGGAAACACTGGTACATGTACTTAATCTTTTGTTATGTGATGGAGTATTTGTCACTTACTCACTGGAGTCCAATGACTAAACCTGGACACTAACAATTGTTACTTTCATCACTGACATCATTAATGACATCAAATTGTTCTTTTTTAGACATCAAAGGATAATTAATAATTAAAAAGGGTACTTTATATTAGTTGTATTCTAAAATACATTATACCCTTCATCTAATGCCTCTTCTATTATATCATGAAACTTTGTTTTGACCGATTCAGGTCAGATCTTTGAAGCATAAAATTCAACTTTTATATATTTTATATATTAAAAATAGAAAATCTTATGCTGAATCATCACAACTGATCATGATGTTCCTCATCATCAAATCCATATTCTCTGTCTTTCACACCATATAAAACTTCTGATAATGTTTCTTTACTGCTTTTAAAACTTTGTAAGCAGCTAGGTGAGCAAGCCCTAAATATAAATGGTAAGTTCTTAATTCCATGTAGCTTGCTGACTGGTCGAATTATTCTTAGTCCTGGCCCATACAAAGCACCTTGGCAGCAATCACAAACAGATCGACTGAAAAAGAAAAAAATCAATATTTTTTTAGGATAGTACTGACAATATCTGTTTAGAATGAAATATTGTAATTTTGAGACTAAACAATATTTAAGTCTAATATGATCTGTTTGTCAATATATATACCAGCAGTAACAGAGTAAAATCCTATACCATCATACAGCAGTCTGTATCTATAACAAGACAAATCTTGGACTTCTCTTAGTAACAGAAGTACATATAACACAATACTATAAAGCTATTTCTAATAAATGTTGGGTCTCAGGCAAGGATCAGGAAATTTTTTGAGGCAACTTCTGTAATTTTTTTAGGACCATAGTCTGGGTCACATTATTCATACTGTAAATATTCATACCAGAAGTCACAACATAAATGAACCTGTTATTAATTTAATGCAACATATTTTCGAATTCATTTACTTGTAAAATTGTATCTATATAACTGATAATAGTTATACTAACATGTCAGTGGCATCAAATTATTGTGTATTTTACAATTATGCCTCTAATCTTGTTTTTGTTAAAATGGGGACACTTGCAGGCATGCATATTGCATAGTAAATAAAAGCATGTTCGATTTGTGCAAAATTCTTTTTTCTACAACCTTAAATAGTTTTAGCAGCTAAATTTCAATTGTAGATGGCCTTTGTTGAAAAATTATTTTGATAATAAAGTAATTTGTCTGAAGTCAATAAAATAATCTTAAATCAGGTGTCAATGCTGATAACACTGAGTAAGGATCATAAGCCTGATATCCCTAGAGGAATTGAAACAGTAACTTGCTGGGCCCTGAAGTTTATCATACAATACTGTATGGCAATTTTATTACAGAAAATCCATTGCAACAAGGATTTAGTGAATGGTAACCAAAGAATCTGCAATTACTGACAAAAAGGCACAGAAAATGAAGTTGAAAAAGTCAAATCTCTTTATGTTTTCAGATTCAATTTGACCCAAATTCAGACTTTCATTTTATTCATTTGAATTTCGAATCAGTCCTGACTGATAAACATAACCGTTTCCAACCCATGCTCTCAGGCCTTGATATTTCACAATTGGTATGAATGGGAGGTTTTTGTTTATTTTGTATTTTTGATACTAATTCAATATCTGGGCATGGTACCACAATGCCTTACCTAGCTAGTACATTGTTGACAGATTCTGGGTAGTGTTCTGGATGCATATGTAGATCTGAATTAAACATCATTAAAGCTGCCATGTCAATCAGTCTCTGAAGAGAAAAATCAGGGTACTTTATTAAACTCATGGACACAGTTGTTAAGCTATATAAATATATTAGTAGGATATTGATATTTATCAAAGTAAAATCCAAACTGACCAAAACAGTTGGGAACATCTGTGTATTTTGAAAAAAAAATATCATGTTTTTATGTTTGTAAATATATTCAATGATTACTTCATGCATAAATTCTCATAACCTTTCAAAATAGTTTTTTTTCAAATGTTTTCGCTTTAATAATCAATATTTTTAGTTTAAGTAATATAGAGTTGGTTTTGTAGTTTTTATCAAAATATGTACAAACTTTAACATGTTTATATCTGCAAATAAAGTTTGAAGTATGTGGAGACAGAGCCTTGGAGTTTACTATTCATTATCAATTTTTGTTTTAAAAACATATAACTGTAGACAATCATGTAAATATTTTCTATATATGTGTGGTAGTCTTTAAATTTAAAAAAAAAAATTTATGCTTTTCCATATTTCTTTTTCTTAATAATGTGCAGCAAAGAGTATGAAAATAAGGAGACATTTATCATTATCAATGAGGCAATTATGCCACAAAGACCAACAAATATGAAGAGTGAAAATTCACAGTTACTTTATATGCTGTGCTATCTTACCTATGATGGAGGTCGACAGCCATCAATATATTATTTTGATACCAAGTAGATTTTTTTTCAGTTTTCTTTTTATCCATTTGCAAATCAAAATCCTGTGATTGTCTAGAAATTACATTTTTTTCTTCTTTTTTTTATAATTTTCTGTAATTTTCATTTTGTACATTCTTTTCATATTTTATCATCATTTATTCACATTGGTATCAGTTTATGAAAATCTTTTCAATTTTTTTTAAAGTAGTATCAGTTGGTGAAAAGTTAAGTAAGCAAGATATTTAACATCGCTGGTAATGAGCTCTTGCCATCCTATGCCAGAGAAGTATTACTGTTTTAAGGAAACAGATTCCCCCTAGTAAAGAGTTCAAGTAGCTTTAATGTCACTAAAAGATGAAATTTCATAATGAAGGGTTGGATTTGGAAACAAAAGCACAATCCATGTTTACAATACCTGTGGTTGATTTTGTGTATTTTCCTTCCAGAATAAAGGATGCATGAAATTATTCTTCACATTCAGATAATCCAACTCTAATCCTAATGCACCACTAGGCATGGCTGGTAACTGATTTCCCTCCAAATTCAGTTCTCGTAAACACCTTTAAAACAAGTATTAACATAAAATTTGTTTTTCATTTATTGTTTTGTACATAAATATGGCAGTAGGTTTTCTCATTTGAATCATTTTACACTTTGTCATGCCAGGACCTTATATAGCTTGATATGTGGTATGGGTTTTGCTCATTGTTAAAGGAGTACAGTGACCTATAGTTGCTAACATCTATGTCATTTAGTTTCTGATGGATTGTTATCTCATTAGCAATCATACCACAGCTCATTATTATTATTACTGTAAAGTGCTTTACTAGAAGTACCAAAATACATGCAGAAACATGATTAGATGTTTCAATTATTAGCTGCAGTTACTTATTCATTCATACTTGCAGATAGTACACATAACTATAAAGTTTAAGTGAGAGTCTTTTAGAACATTTTATTTATAAATTTTATCAAAATTCAATAAATAGTCTAATGATAACTCACCTAGTAAGGTATTTTATTTCAATAGGAATAAATGTCACCTTGTTGTAAGATATGTCAAGATGTTCTAATTTTGGCAAGGAGAATAATCTGCAAAATAAGAATAAAAAATTCAAAATTATTAAAAATCAAATTTCACTTCCATGAATAAACGGATTGATGTTTAACGCCTCTTTCAACACTATTGTGCTATTTCGTGGCGGTCAGTTTTTATTGGTGAAGGAAGACGGAGTGCCCAGAGAGAACCACTGACCTTAGGTAGGAAAACTGACAGTCCTTGTCAATTAAGATTGGAATCGAGTGCACCTGCCCCATGTGGGATTCAAACTCACAACCTCAGTGTTGACTGGCTATTGATATAGTAGTTTGACTACTTAGACAACTCAGCCACTATCCCCCGTCCATGAATAAAAAATTTGTAAGGGTTCCGCGGAACCCAGTGTCTCACCTACTTTTGCTGTTAGTTGCTGGCTCAACAAAAATGGGGAAATAATTATTAAAAATTTTCCTCTAGATACTATCTTTTGAATGTAAGAAGCTTCTGTTTAAGTTTGGTAAGAATCCAGGATGGTTTATGAATCTAATAAATGTTTTAAAAACTTTAACAGCAGACTGTATGTAATGTTAACTGGAAGAAAAACTAAGTCCATTTATAAGTAATATATGGAAAAACAGGAATTTTTTTTTTACAAAATTTCCTTCTAGTTACTAGCTTTTAATCATAATATGCTTCTGTCCAAGTTTGGTACAAATCCAGGATAGTGTAAGAAAGCTATTAAAATTTATTGAAAACTTTAACCATAGAGTGAATGTAATATAATGTTAACTGGAAGAAAAACTAAGTCCATTTATAAGTAAAATACGGATAAACAGGATTTTATTTTAACAAAATTTACTTTTGAATACTATCTTATGATCATAAACAAGCTACTGCCCAAGTATGGTACAAATCCAGGATAGTTTAAGAAAGTTATTAAAATTTGAAAAACTTTAACCATAGAGTGAATGTAATGTTAACTGGCAGAAAAACTAAGTCCATTTATAAGTAAAATACTGATAAACAGGATTTTTTTTTTTAACAAAATTTACTTTTGAATACTATCTTATGATCATAAACAAGCTTCTGTCCAAGTATGGTACAAATCCAGGATAGTTTAAGAAAGTTATTAAAATTTGAAAAACTTTAACCACAGAGTGAATGTAATGTTAACTGGCAGAAAAACTAAGTCCATTTATGAGTAAAATACGGATAAACAGGATTTTTTTTTTACAAAATTTACTTCTGGATACTATCTTATGATCATAAACAAGCTTCTGTCCAAGTTTGGTAGAAATCCAGGATAGTTTAAGAAAGTAATTAAAATTTGAAAAACTTTAACCAGAGTGAATATTTGTGGACGCTGCCGATGACGATGACGCTGAAGGAATGTAGGATCGCTATGTCTCGCTTTTGCGACAAAAGTTGCAGGCTCGACAAAAATGGAAAAAAATAAAAAATATAGTCAAATTTTTAAACAGGCCCGGGTTAGCTGTTCCTTATAAACATACATGGAACCCAGGGAAGGCACTTTTAAAATTGGGTAACCACTTATAGAGGCATATTCAGAATTTCACTTGAATTTTCACTTTAAATTTATACTGGACACCCCCCAGTGCTGAGTTTTTAAAATGCATTCTCTGTGTCCAATGTATGTTTTATAGAACAGCCAAGGTTATAAAGTTGCACTTTATGATGTAAAAACTTAAAAGTTGCTAACCATTTGATAGAACAAGTTTATAAACAATATGAAATGTAGTAAATCATAAAGGATAAGTGTATACATTTATCTTACATCACCAAAGAGACTTAAAATCATCAGACAAACTCAAATAGTTCTATATGAATGAAAAAAGTACTGAAATGTATAGATCTTTTTGTATTCCTACCCCAATGGAAGAGATGATAACAAGCAGAAGGATACAACCAGTATTCTTAGGTTCTGTAAGCTGTTAATATCAGGTGGAAGTTCTCTTAGAGGATTGTTCCTAAGTTTCAGTACCTCCAACTGTCGGATTCCTAAGATCTCTCTAGGAAATAGCTATTAAAACAAAGAAAATTCAAATATTAAATCATTGAATTAAATAACAAATGCTGCATTACCAAATCAGTAAAAATTCCTCAACTTTTAATTTTAAGACCAAATACTAAAATAGACCCTGCTTAATAACCTTTATTATAGCATTTATCAGGATTTTATCCATATAAATCTTGTGTTTTTATTTTTGTTGCAAGTTCTATGATCAATACCATCCTTGGCACACACAAACAACAGTTGTCAAAATTGCAAGAAAGCTGACTTTTCAAACTTGAGAGATGAAATATACAGGGATGGGATTTAATTATTACAGTAAAGTAGATATTGTTGTAAAGTACCATTATTACAGGTTTTTCCTGGAATGGAACCATCACAAGCTCTTAGCAGGACAGTCTAACATCTTTCAATATGATAACTAAACGTTGCATATCTAACATTAACTTGTAGTACTGATCGAAAACATAGACAAATCAAAAAGTTTGGTAGCTCTATGGGCAAAGAAGTCATGTCTTTGAAATCAGTATTCTTTCTCCAAAACATTTGAAATGAAATCAATTAATGGACGGTAAAGCAAAAGAATAAGGTAATCTAGGCAAATTTATTTACATTCCATGTTGAACAGTTGTTCATTTTTATATGGCAATGGTAGAACCTCCATTTTTCTTGATAGAAAACACAAAATGGTTACTTTGAATTCAGAAACTTTGACGGACACTAAAAGTCATTAGATGACAGCCATCTTTTCAAAAAAGTTCCAGTAGAGATTAAGATACAGTTTAATCATTATCAATACTTCAAGACTATAAAAGGCAAATCAATAAATGAGTAACAAAGGCAATATGAGATCTCCACCAGATCCTTTAATTAAAAGTAGCAATAAACTTATCAGGAGCAATCAATTACAGTAGACAGACAGTATGATAACCTTTCTATTATAATTGGTTCTGTTTATGTATTGTAAAGATTATTGAAATAGAAATTATATCAAAATAACAATTAGATTATCATAATGTTTCCACTCCAGATAGTTCAAGAGTGGAGAGCAAATAAATATAATACTTCATAAGGGTAAAATGAAAGCATCTGTTTTCCTAGTGTTTACATGAAGTTTCTCGAGTGTCATGTTGCAAACAGACTAGGTGGGAACAAAAAACAATTTATTCAACTTATGGTTTGTCATTTATTTATCCAATAGGACAAACAAGTAAAAATTAGAAAAGTGTTTACATAGTACAACCATGTAATAATAATGTATTTGTGATTAGGAAATAACAACTGTAATGCTGATTCTTAATTATGTGAAAAAAAATAGAAATCAGATGACAAAAAATTCTATGAAAGTTATGTCATAAAGACATAATTGATATTCCAATGTTTTTTTCCATTACAGTTCTAGCAGGACTGATGAAATACAACATTTGCATCCTTAATTGTGCACTAGACCATCAATAAGATCATCAATTGCAAGGAGAGAGGGAGATAGAGAAGGGTTAAATCTGAATCAGAGTGAAAAATTATAATGAAACTTTAGAGAATCTTTAGAGAAAGGGTTTTCATAATAGTAGACCATGATTAACCCTTTGCTACTATTCATACGTTATAATTCTTAGCTACTCTTATTAATTATTTTTCCAATTTCAAATATTGTCAACTAGTCAACATAACAAGGAATAAATATAAAGTCATCGTGAAAAGCCACATTTTGCTTGTGGAATATATTTCTGAATTGCATTCCGCAAAGTAGTACAGGTTTGAGAATATCTTTTTACTATACTTACTGTGAAATCATTGAAAGATAAATTTATATATGTGACAGTCCTCATCAAAGGTGAAAGGTCAGGTACTTGTGATATGAAGTGAGCCTACAAAGAAAAATTATAATTCCACATTAACTTCAACTAGAAAAAAAGTAATATGCAACATTGAACACTTTACTTTCAAAGAACAGCATCTTAAAAGTAACAACAACCCTACCCCTGGCCTCCATTTGAGTATCCAATATCTTTGGGTCATATCCAGTCTGAGAACTAGGGTTCAAAAATGTGTGTGTACCATGAAGAAACCAAATTTTCAACATATTTATATTATTAAGGTGTGTCAGACTCTTTTGAGTTGGATACCAACTCCCAATAATTCACAGGATTGCAGATATTCTCTCTCATACATACAACCAGATTCTAGAATGCAATGTAACATCTACATTGATAATGACTATACTTTAATTTTATTTTTTCCATATTCTGAGATGTTCTTATGTATTGCTGTTTTACAGTACTTAACTATCCAATGATTAAAATAACAATATGATATTTTTGCGTGTGTAAATATCAATTATACTTATATGATTTCATTCATTTACCTAGCATTAACATTTGCATATGTTTCTGGCCCTGTGATTAAAAAAATAACCAATATAGCTTTATTTGATGTAATTTTATTTTTATTATGCACACAACAAAAATCTAAACAGCATTTTTGTCTAAATCTTTCTATGAAACATTTCTGGCAACAGCAACACCTTCATCTTTACATTTTCCCAGTATCTTATGAATTCAGGCTGTATTGTTTTTATTAGCCAAAAGCACTTCTTTCAAGCATTTAATTTGGAATAGAACTGTCTTTGGTTTTATAGGCTGCTGAATTTACTTGGTTTATTCTTAATATTTTGTGGTAATGCTTTTTTTGTAGAATAAATTGAATTTCTTGTTGAGTATTTTAAGAAAAGATGTAATTTTTCAAACATGTTTTGATCACAGTGCATGTGTTGTTTCTCTCCAAATGTACCTCCACATGCTTTAAATGGATAAAAGCAAGTTTTGAATTGTAAGCATTATTGAGTAAGAGACTGATTCAAGTTTTCAAAAAAGTAGCTGATTTACCAACATATTCTATTCACATCTGTCTTGCCTACTTACACATTATAAGTTTTTCAAATGTTTGGCAGGTATAAAATGTAAAAAAAATCTTTTTGAAATTCAGTCTCATTAAACATGTTAAATAGTTACCTTCAAACTAAGAATTTTTCCACCATTGATAAGACAATCCAGTATTGCCAGCTCTGAGGGAGAAATGACACCATCTCCTGGTGCAGCTAAAAAATATAGTAAAAATACATTAAATATCTTCCCTTTTCATATAAAACAAATGTTTTAAATAAGTAAAAACTTCTTATTTTGATAGCTCCCTAATTCATATTGGTCCATAGTGTTTTTCCTGTAATTCCTGGTATTTTTTTGTATTTCTTTCATTCTTTTAAATAAATACCATGGGGTTTCATTGTTCTTTGCTACTGAATGGAATGTACAAGTTAGTCTATATTTTCTTTCACATAAATCTTGAAAATACAATACAGTTTAAAGGAGCAAATAATCAAAAGTTGTTAAGACCTTATTATAGTAAAATTGTTGAAGTGTTTATGCAATAAAACATACTGAAAGGTGATTGACTCCTCCCAGATCCTTGGAAGTATCTTGATCTTGCAGAATGGAACATTGTGTCCGCACTTGGTACCTCTGTTTCCCTACAAGGTAAAGTATATTCATCTCAGCAGTGTACAGCACCATGACATGAAAGATTCTTTCTGTTATCCAAACTTGATGGACTTTGATGATGAATAACATTCAGAATATAGTCAGCATTTTACATCAAACAACTAATACTGAGGATGGTTACTTGTCATCTGATAGAGTTATTGATAATTTCATAGATTATTGTTTATTGTGGGAATTTGATGTTGTTCACAGATATCGTACTGTACATGTGAATTCATTATTATTCACTAAGTACATTTGTACTTATAATTATTTTCAGTGATTTCGTGGGTAAAGGTTATATGTGAAAGGAATTATAAATTTCCAATAGGCATGGTTACAGAATTTGTGAAAACCATGAAATTGAAATATCTACAAAAATACAATTTACCTAAATCTACGATGTCAGTACCCATGAACATAAATGAACACAGTAGTCTTTGTTAAATATATAACATTTTTTTTATAGATTTAGAACCATATAGAGTTTGACATTTTGTATAGACACCTGCATATTGACCTTAAGATGTCCTTTTAATTTTTGTGTTGCTGGGTTGCTGTTTCATTGACCTATACCCCACATCTCCCCTTATTCCCAAATTCAGAATACAAGATTGAATGTTTATCTCAATAAAATGCTCTGAACAGTGTTCTGAAATTAAATAAAAACATTTGAAAGACAAAATTCATCTTTCTGTAACTTATTATAGCATACACATTACTATATGTTAGTTGGCATTAAATAATGTCACCAGGCCTAGGATTTTTCTTCAGATAGTAAACAATAGATGTCTGTATAAATTGTAATATTAGCTTAATACATATTTCTTGTCAATATCCAAAATGATTTGTTGATTACATTGTAGCTCCCTTAATTAATATGAGTAAATATTGTGACTGTATGGGATTATAGTGACTATATATGCATAGCATAACAAAGGACAGTTGTAATGTAAAAGGAAATTAGAGTGCCTATGGTAAAACATCTATACAACAGGTAAACACACAAGTTCTAGTAAATGCAGCTTTTTCTGATGAAAATATGAATATCATATACATGTACTTCTCAAATTTGAATTGAAGCTTACTGTCTTTGTTGAAATGAACTTCTGGTTAAATCTGTTTCTTCATCTTCATACAAGATAATCTCAGTATGAGGAATATTAGCGTCATTATACTGAGGACTGTACTTCTTTAATGGTCGTATCACAGATTTAACTTCTGTTCCCATTAAATCTCTGACATGTTGTTTAATCATGGCAGCCATTTCTACCAGAAGCTGTCTCTGTGGAATTCTTGGTTCTGTAGGTGGTATATTTTGATCTGAAAGAATAATTATAATATAAATGTATTTATTTTCTTTTATTATAAAGGCTATTTTATATTCAAAATTATCTGTGATAATAAAAACTAGAGACTCTAAAGAGCCTGTGTTGCTCATCTTGGTCTATGTGCATATTCAACAAAGGACACTCTCCAACATTGAAGGCAAGAATAGAATTCATAAGAAAAATCTCTGTTTTGTTGATCTTGTATTGCTGATCATTTAGTCTGTTTAGTTTCTCTCTATCTTCTTTAGTTTTTGCTCAAAACACAAATGAGGGTTAAAAAAAATCCTTATTTAAGGGGCTGGGCAATCACTCCTATAAAGAGTGACAGCTAGCCTACTACATTTATCAGCAAAATGTGACTTGTTAGTAGATCAGATGATTTCCTCTACATTGTCTTAATTGTAGATCTTGTCTTGCTGATCATGTTTGCCTACATTTGTATTTAAGTTTCTATCTATCTATTATAATTTTTCAGAAATAAGGCAAAAACGCAAAATATTGTTAAAATCATCATCAAAGGGCAATAACTCTCATCATTCAGATTTGCTCTCAATGCTTTAGTTTCAGAGATATAAGCCAAAAACTGCATTTTACCCCCATGTTCTATTTTTAGCCATGGTGGCCATCTTGGTTGATGGGTGGGGTCATCGGATATATTTTTAAACAAGATACCCTAAGGATGATTGTGGCTAAGTTTGGTTAAATTTGTCTCAGTAGTTTCAGAGAAGAAGATTTTTGTAAAAGATTACAAAAATTTTCAAAAAATTGTGAAAAATTGACTTTAAAGGGCAATAACTCTTTAAGGGGTCAATTGACAATTTTGGTCATGTTGACTTATTGTAGATCTTACTTTGCTGAACAATTTTGCTGTTTACCTTTTATCTCTATCTATTATAATATTCAAGGTAATAACCAATAATAACCAAAAACTGAAAAATTTCCTTAAAATTACCAATTCAGGGGAGGCAACCCAACAACGGGTTGTCTGATGTGTCTGAAAATTTCAGGGCAGATAGATCTTGACCTGGTGAACATTTATACACGAGTCAGATTTGCTCTAAATGCTTTAGTTTCAGAGATATAAGCCAAAAACTACATTTTACCCCCATGTTCTATTTTGGTGGCCGTCTTGGTTAATGGGCCGGGTCGTCGGATATATTTTTTAAACTAGATACCGTAAGGATGATTTAGGCCAAGTTTGGTTTTATTTGGCCCAGTAGTTTCAGAGGAGAAGATTTTTGTAAAAGTTAACGGACGACGACGGACGCCAAGTGATGAGAAAAGCTCAAAATTAAATAAGTAATGTTACAGTGAAAAGTTAAATAAAAAAGAAAAGCAATGTTTCTGAAAACGTATTTTCTTTTCAGTTTATTGATAATCTGCAATTTTATTGCAGAGAAAAATATTTGTAGGTTTTTTCCCTATGAACAAAATGACAGGAATTAATTATAAATATTTATACAATTAATCAAATAAATCTAAGTATATATGTCTTAAAGAATCACAATTTAATTGGCTAAGAAAATGTCTCATAAAAATTTGATTGACTGAGAAAACAATTCAAATGATGTCTCTTATTAAAGTTTTGCATCAACAATTCTCCGTCATAAATTTCTGAACAAAGTACATGTACTGTGAAACCAGTATTCTTGCTTGGAGTGTTGCATTTTTATGAGATCATGTAAATGGTTTGTTGTGATAAATGATGTTGTGATATTAAAATATACACATCTTCAAATGCAAATAAACAACTTTGTAACATTTTATTGCATTCTATAGCATACTGTTCGAGATATGGTTATGCTTCTTGGATGTAATTAAAGAGTTATAAAAGCATGCAAAATGTAATATACTATAGACTTTTATAGCTGACTATATAGTAAGGGTTTTTCTCATTGTTGAAGGTTGTACATGTACAGTGGCTTATAATTGCTTACATCCACTTCATTTGAACTCTGGTGGAATAATGGATAGTTGTCTCATTGGCAATCATAACCATCTCCTTACTTTTATACATCAATATTGAGTACAGTAAACATCAATATAGTTTCAATTAGAAGATTGGGGTGGGCTTATCAGTCAGGGGACTTATTGAAATAAGTGATTTTCAAATCACTTATTTCAGTAGCAAATTCGAAGTTTTGTCACAAATTGTGATTTTGTAGTTTTACCAAAATTTTAAACACATATGTTTAGATAATATCTTTTCACTAGTAAAATTGAAAAAAAAGGAACTTTTTGCTTCTTTTAAGCAGCAAGGTTTATGCCTTTGATACAATCATTTAGCTGCAAACTCTATTTTAGTTGAAAAAATGCTATAAAAATGGCTTTACATAATGAACTGATACTTTCTTAACAGATTTTCCCAGCAGTGGGATTATTTTTTCTGTAAAATTCAAGGTTTCATCTTATAGATTATGTAATAAAATTCTACTGTTCGCGATCAAAATTTCACTGTACGGGGGTGTTGAAATTAGTGGGGGTTATTAAAATAATGATACTTAAAGAAGTGATTTTTTGGAAGGAAATTAAGGTATGATACTTAAACAAGTGTTTTTTATGTCATTATCCTAGATTTAGTACAAGGTCATCACCTGACATGACCCAGTCATCCTATCAACACAGACGTTGGTTCTGATAATTTTAGCAACATAATTAGTCCCTGGATCATTAGTATTCTCTATATTTAAAGCTGCAATAAAATTAAATCACTTAGTTTAGTGATTAATTTGTACTACTTAAATATGTGATTATTAAAGAAAGACAACTCTTACTTCCAACCTTTATGGACATAATGTTACTTGAATCAGTGATTTAGAAAATCACTCATTTAAGTAAGTCCCCTGACTGCTTATCTACAACGTAAGTGATGACTTACCTTCAGGAGTAAATTCCTTCACATGCATTTCTTCATTGCTTTGAATGATATGCTTGCGTGCCAATAAATTTGTCAACTTTTTATAATTATGCTTTGAAGTTATAGCCTCTCTGACCTTGGGTAGAGGCATTTTCATTACGTCTGCACATTCTCCAACAAAAGATTCAAGAGTAAATGCTGGAGGCTGGTAATAGTGAAATTCATCCTGAGGATCTCCAGGAGGTATAAATGGAACTTCATTGTATCGTTTTGGGGCTCTAGCTGGCAATCCATCTGGACCTCTTGGTTTGAAAGGTTTGACAAGAGACTTCCCATCAACATAAGTTCCCAAGCTTGTTCTATCTCTATATAGTGGGTCTAGAACATATTTTCTGTCCTCTCTGGCAATGTAACTCACATGACTCAATGGAGAACCATATAAATGTAAAGTTCGCTGACTAATTCCTCGTCTTGGATTTGATTCCGAGGGTGGGGGTGATATCAAACTTGGTACAGCACTTGGAGGTGGAGATTGTTGAAAGGAACTGTAAGTTTCATATTCTTCATTTTCAAAATCATAATTTTCATAAAATGGTCTCTCAGCTGGATCTGGGGAAGGGGGAAAAGGAATGGGTGGTAATTTTGGTGCTCTTGGTTTTCTAAGCAGTTTAAATCCTCCTTTCTTTTTCTTTATTTCTTCAGAACTTGAGGTTACAAGAAGCTGAAAAACATTTATCATATTTATTTACATATAATAAACAGAGTTTTTTTTTTAAATTCATTAATCATATAAAATTGCTGGAAGTTTGCTGGTAAGTTTCAAATTAATTTGGTTCCAAAATATGTGTTATGGTTATATCTATTTTTTTGGTATATTGAAAGGCATTTGCTCAAGAATTCAGTTATATTAAGTCACACAAAAAATATTTGTCTGTGTGTGCTCATTTGTTTAGAACAGTTATCTTGATTCTTCAAATGTATTTTCAATAGGGATGCTGTCAGTCAACATTATTTAAAAAAATAATTTTGGCATGGATACAACCAGAGTTTGAAGGAACTTTTACACTGCATGCATACTGTGAAAGTACTTTAATTCGTGGGTATCAATTTTTGTGGTTTGAGCAGAAGTTACATGTTCGTGGTTTCTTAAATAAGTGGATTTTATTTTTCTGAAAAAATATTGTAGATTCTTGAAAATAATCATCTACTGTTCTATAATTATTTGTGGGACATTGCAAAATAATGTGTTCATTTCGCTTACTTGTTCTTCTTTCATTACTGACAACATTCATTAATTTTTTAATAAAATAATTGCTTTCGTAAATAAGCTGATTCATCTATGGTGACAAATTGTCTCGATTGAAGGAAATTGCAAAAAAAAACATTTTATTATTGCAAATGTGTAATCAGAACTGATGACACTAATTAACCCGAAATTTAATGATCAACAGATTAACGGTCATCAAAGGTGTTAATTGGGTCATAAACATGTCACTTACAGCAAAAGATTACATTTATAAACAAATGCAACAAATATACTTTGAAATGTAGAATTAATTCTGAATGAAATAAAAAAGCAAGCTTAATATGATTTGTTTTCATATGTGAATTATGAGGAGATTCAACACTTTATCATCGAATATCATCACTGGAAGTCTGACTTTCCTTGATCGAAGCTAACTTTTCATGACATTAAAAAGGTTAAAAGTCGTACAATTTAGGTGTTTAAAAGATTAAATTGATAAAATCCTGTCTGAAGTTGTATATATTGTTCTTATTGTGTTTGCTTATATTTGAAGTACTCTAGATATGCCGGTATCAATGAAGTCAAACCTACACCACTGTACACAGGGATCTTTCCATGTCTTGATTTGGACAACAGTTGTTATATTTTGTGGGACACTAATTAACATTCGTGGATAGAGCCTTCCATGAGAACCAGGAAAATTGGTACTCCACCAATAAAAGTTACTTTCACAGTATAACGAAAATATGAAATTATAAAAAAAAGTGGAGGTTACCATGCAAAATTTTCTGAAGATATCAAATAACAAGAAGTTGTATGTTTTTGTCGTAATAAGCCTACTCACTAGCATTAACGACTCAAAGTATTTGGAAACATGAAGTACAAATGCATGGGTCTGACAAATGGGTATCAAAAAGTGTGGAACAAAAACTTAAAGATCAGTTCACACAATTATGTTTGTCACATATAGATAGCTTACCTAAATGCCTATGTTATAGAATTTTTAAGACTAATTTGAAATTTGAGAATTATCTCAACATATTGCCTAATAATTTATTATTTGTATACTGCAAATTTAGATGTGGAAGTCACCGGTTACCAATTGAGACGGGAAGATGGCGAGGCTTGTCACAAAACGACAGACTTTGTCATCTCTGCGATTCAAGTGGTATTGGTGACGAATATCATTACATCATGACTTGTAAATCTTTGGATGTAGAGAGAAAGAAATTTTTGCCTGAATATTGCTGTAAAAATCCAAATACATACAAATTTAATGGTTTATTTAATTCAGACAATACTATCATTTTAGAAAAATTATGTAAGTTTATAAAAATAATACAGGTGAAAGTCAGTCCTCCAAGTTAAGTTACGTTTGTTCACACATGTGCATGCTTATATATACATATATGTAATTGTAGATATATATTTTCTCTGTAACTATGACATGTAGTTTTGTGAGAATAAAGTTCATTCATTCAACAGATCCAAAAAGCACTCAGTCATTACAAATCATTACAAAATGCCTTAATGTATTGTCCAGCTGCTGAACAAACACAAAGTCACTCTGTACAGTAGTTATAAGGAAAAGTGTGACAAAATTATTTCTTGTATTTCAACATATTGAAAAATTTCAAGTAGGAAGGAGGTGTCTGACAGATTCAGCACATAGCCATGTCATGTGGATATCAAATTTTGGTATTGTCAATTTGTGATTTGTCTGTTTGATATATTGAATGATAAAAAATAATATTCACTTTTATTTAACATGTTAAACAATGAAAATTCAAAAACTGTAAAATAAAAATCTTATAAAAGGAAATTACTTCAAACAATTAAAAACAAACTATTTTCCACTTTTTGTCCTATCAATTTTGGGTCTTTGTTTGTACATGTATCAGACGAATTATAAGTTCATATACTTTTGCAGATATATTTGGGGCATCAGATAAGACTTTTAAGATCATGATTTCTCAACACTTTTTGACCAATTGCTGCATGTATATATTCATCTTGACACATGAAATGCATCTTACATAATGATACTTCTCATAGGCTGTGCCTTTTTGCCTTTTAAGTAAATCCTATACATGTATATACAAATTTCTTCAATTTCTGTGGGAGTATGGACTAACTTTTTTTGTTAAGCTTACAATTATTATTTATTATAATGATTTTTAGCCCTATATTTGGTCAGTGCATTAATTTAACATACAAGTGCAAATAAAAATCAATTGTTAAATATTTCCTGTTTACTCTCAAACTTTTGTAATACATTAGTCAGACTTCAATACAGTCTACATAGTTTGTCACTGTCAACCTTATATTCTGATTACTAAACTATTGTTGTCAACTTGACAACAGTCAGGACCTGTCAACATGTCAACCACATATTTTAATGTCTACAATATAGTTTCCAATTACTGTAAATCAACTTATTTTCGCGACTTTCGCGAGTTGAAAAATAACGTGAAAATAAATCTTTGCGAATTTGTTAAACTTTTATCTTCCTTCATATAAATACATCAAAATAATTTAAAAATCGCGAAAATAAATCGCCGCAAAGTCGGTTACGAATTGCTAAACGCTAAATAAAGTATCAGCGAAAATAAGCTGGTTTAATTACAGTACTGTTTGTGAATACATCTTATCGCTGTTTATTCCAATCCAGATAATTTCTTAAATTACACAAATTTTTCATGATGACAGTAAAAAACCAGTTGAACCTACATGTACATTGTATCTTGGGCCCTGTTTAAACAATGCATTGTCCATAAAAAAATTTCCAGGAGACATGTTTAAACCATCCTTAAGGTTCATGTGGACCCTTTTGCTAAAATGGCTGCATTTTCACCTCAAAATTTACTCTGAGGACAGACAAACCTGCGCATCTGGAAAAGTTTTAAGGCATAGAATGCCCTAGATAAATAATCTTCTAATGCATTGTATGTTTTAGAAAATTTAAAACTTAACTGGATTTAGCAGTGCACTTTTTTTCGTCCCTGCAGAAGATGATAAAATTAACAAACAGTTGAGTTTCACTTGATATGGTCCACTCAGGTACACAGTTTAAATCACCAATTATTGCCAGGTATCTATTGTCCATCTATTGTCCATGTCAATCAAAACAGTTCACTTCAATTATTACCTGTGGGGAAGTTCTCAAACCTCTTTCCCAACTTTGTTTATTTTGGCACCTTCTGGTGGAATGAAAAAAAGTGCACTGCAAAATCCGGTTAAGTTTTTAATTTTCTAAAACATAAAATATATTTGAATTTTAGTTATCTAGGGCATGCTATGCCTTTAAACTTTTCCAGATGCACAGGTTTGTCTGTACTCAGAGTAAATTTTGAGGTGAAAATGCAGCCATTTTAGACGAAGGGTCCACATGAACCTTAACATATCAAACAAAGAATTTTATGACAACAGAGAGCTTTATTACTTCGGTTGCTCTCACATCTTTGGACTAATTTTCCAGCGCCTCTCTTCCGTTGCCATTGATGCCATATACTGGCCCTGCAACGTACCTATTGAGTATTCAGATTCAGAATGTTGAAGGGATTTTAACCCCTCCCCCTTTGGAAAAAAACAATAAAAATCAGAAATGGAAGAAATTTCTCAAAAAAAATGATAAGTATAATCGTTTTCTTGTGTTATCAAAGTTTTCTGAGGTGTTTAAAAGGTATTGTAGATGTTTATTACAGGTTTTGAATACATTTTTCTTACCGAGGGTCCATTGAGCGCCATTTTGACGCTGTAGCCATGAAAACACGAGATTAACGCGAGAATTAGTTAACAGTTAACATGGGGTTAAAAATTAGGCCATTGGTTTCTGCTCTGAGAGTAAATTCGCGTCTATTTTCAACATGCAAGCGTTCAAGCCAATTCAACGAACCTCTCTCCGGTCACAGTATGGCCAGAGCAGGAGGAATTGCATCCATGATGCGACTGCCAGTGCAGGAAACAGCAAATGGTATAAATCGTGGAAGATGATGAATCGGGTTCCTTCGCCATTAATCACGTTCGCCCTAACGCGTTCGCCCTGGGTCCATTCGCCCCGATTTGGATTTTAAATGATTTCATGTTGTATAGTGGTGTAATAGTGTCACGAAATAGAAGTTCCTTCATAATATAAGTTCCAAGTGGAAGAGATATTCTGTAATATTATTTCCACTGGAAAAAATATTACCAGTATTTGTTCCTTAAGGATTAAGGGTATATAATATTTGTTCCAGGAACAGATATTATGACATTGTTTAGAACAAAGTTTCCAGTGGAATTTCTGTTAGCCGGAACACACATACGTTGTCAATGTATTATATGAATAGCGTATGTATTGCCCAAAGTTAAAATGTGTCGAAAATTTCAATAAAGGGTCAAACGTAAATGTGTTTTGCACACTGAAAATACAATATATAAATTTTTGTTGTATAGCTGCTGCCAGATAATTATATTTCTTTTTGTATTTTGAACTGAAGTCTACTGGAAAACAAAGTAATTCAGACACAATTTCACACTTTTTTTATACCAATGAGTGTGATATAGAACTAAATTAATGTCATTTAACAGTCCTCAAGCTTTTATAATGGTATGACCAGAGACATATAATACAGTAGTATATGTCTCTGGTATGACTATGTTTGAAAAATATGATATCTATTAAAATTTAATACCCTTAAGTTCCTCTTATATTTATATTTTAAATGAAACCTCACAAAAATGTTATTTTCATAATTAAAACCCCAAGGAAAATTGATACACTCACCTGCTCACTCACACAGCAATCAATGGTATCATAGACATATTAATTATATCTAATTAACATTTTCAATTACATGCACTCATGATCAACAGTCATTAAATTTAATAAAAATTCAAATCAAATGTAACAATGTCAATGAAAAGCTAATCATTGCTCAGAGATATATTTTTTTTTCAACTATAAGATATATCATGCATATGTATTTTCTTTAATATACACATGTATTTACCTAATAAATACCTGCATAGGTACATAAAAACCATTAAAATTGAATTGGTTGACCATAATGACAGATGGCAATGGATATGTTCCAATTGTTGTAACCACAATCCCCTTTTGACCCTGAATGTGACCTACTGAATTAGACTTATCACTGGGTTTGTACTAACATGAGCAACACGACAGGTGCCACATTTGGAGCAGTATTTGCTTACCCTTTCGGAGCTCCTGAAATCACACCCCTGGTTTTTGGTGGGGTTCCTGTTGCTCAGTCTTTGGTTTTCTATGTTGTGTTTTGTATACATGTATACTGTTGTTTGTCTGTTGGTCTTTTTCTTTTATAGCCATGGCATTGTCAGTTTATATTCAACTTATGAGTTTGAATGTCCCTTTGGTATCTTTTGACTCTCTTTTATTTAAGGATGTCCTGAAATGGAATCATGGAGTTCTTACAAATTTTGGGAATAAACATTTAAGGTTGATCAGGTGTCTTTTTCTGAGCATCCCTTCTAGGCATGTAGCAAAAATATTTTACCAAGCATCATTCAAATATACAACAGAAACAACTAAAACTTGAAGTTTTAAGATTAAACTACTATATCAAAAAAATTAAGTGCCGTTAAGTGTATTTAAAATTTAATGAGTATTTCTGAAATGCAATTCTATCGTTTAATGTTTCCTCAATATGGAAAAATCAAGTTTCTTCTACAGAAGTTTAAGAAAATCTATCATCAAACATTTTGGACACCCTGCTACCTTTAATATCCTGAAATTAGATTGTTGAGGTCCTTAAATCTATATTATGAAGCTACCTGTACGAAATGGGACGCCCGTAAATGACACGGAAACCAGGCGTAGAAATCATACTTTATCAGGGCGTCATTGTAGTGTTTAGGGAATGCATGTCCAGGCGTCAACCAGGCGTAAACCAGGCGGAAACCAAGCGTAACTGAGGCGGAAACCAGGCGTAAAATTAGGCGTAATATTTAAATGAGTACGCCTGGTCCACAGAAAACCAGGCGTTATATGCAAATGAGTACGCCTGGTCAATAAAAAAAGCAGGCGTAATATCCTTACATAATACTACACTTATTTTAAATCAGTGTATTACCCTAGCTGTGTACTTTTGTGTATTTGATACAAACTTCTGTACTATTGCTTAAATTTCTCATTTTTTGACATGAAACTTGAAATATTAACCATTAATTGATGAAGCTATATAGATAAATACATATTAGACAGACACTGGCTCAAATAAGTTTAAGTTTAAATTAGAATTATGACAATTAATTCTTACTGAAATAAAACCAGCATTTTAACTAAGTTTTTTTTTTAAATTAATGTCATTTGAACCAAAATATCAATGATAATACTGCAATTTAACTTAATGTGAAAGATTTTAATGTTATCATCCAAGGATGAAGGTTTTCAGAATTCAAAATTACTGTTAAAAAATAAAACTTAGTTACTCACATAATTATCTTTTACCATGTATATTACTTTCCTTTTATTTCACAATTTTCATTAATCAATTTGATTCCATAATTCCAATTTCAAATTCTTCCAAAAAGCACAAAACAAGCTTAATTATCCCTGAATATATAAAGCTGCCATAAGTCCAACTCTTGCAAAATAATACCAAGGAGCCAAATTTTGAAAAAAAAATCCCATGATCCTTTATCAACAATGCATTATGGGTATTATGATTTACGCCATACCAACAGTTTTACGCCCGTAGGAAAATTTACGCCTTGCTTATTTCAATTTACGCCAGGTTTACCATATTTTCTACGCCCGTAAGGTCTACAAATTTACGTTTCCTGTTCCCTTACGCCTGGATCTGGACACGTAACTACCACTTACGCCTGGTTTACGCCAGATTTCCAGGCGTTATACGCCTTATAATTTCGTACGGGTACATAAGTGTTAAGGATATCCTGAAATATTTATTGACCTCCTGAAATAAAGACTGATTACTTGTGGAGGTCGTGCAATGTTTCAGGATATCCGGGAATGGAATTATTGAGGTCCTCAAATATATCAGGATATCCTGAAATAGACATGATAGAAGCTCAATCCTCAATGACTTATCTTTAGCCTGAATTGGAATTATGGAGGTCCTGAAATCTTTCATGAGCTCCTTACATACAATAATTTTGACTAATAAGTTTATTGTATTTCTAGTTATATTACATTTGTAGTAACTATGAGTGGAAAATATGTAAACAAAAATACCAAACTTGAAGTTAAATTCAAAAAGGGGGAAGTCCATAAGACCTGACAAAACCAAATGCTGGACTATTTCAACTAACTGGAATTTCAACTGTCATATTCCTTTCTTTGTACATAAAAACCATTTACCAAAGAAAATGGTTGGTGAAACCTGTTTTTTTTAGGTGCTTATCGCTCTGTTGTCTTGACAATATTATGAGAGCAACCCAAACAAACATTATCATGATAATTGGTTAACATGACAATTATTGAGTAAACATACATAAAAAATATACAACACAACTATACATTAAAAAATAAAAACAAACATACAATTAAATTAAAAAAGACATTATATTGTCAGCAATTTGAATTACAATCAACAGTCATTAAAATGAATTAAAATAAAGATAAATGTAACAATGAAGACGGTCATTGCTTGAAACTAAGCCATTAATGTTGATGAGTTTTGAATTTTTAAAAATTAAAGTTTACATATGTTTCCTTTTCTCTTACAGGCCTACATGCATGTTTTGTTGGAGTACCATTGGATATTGGGACGTCCAATAGATCTGGCACCAGATATGGACCTAGACAAATCAGAGCAGAATCTGCTTTAATTAGGAAATGTAACAATGCAACAGGTTAGAAGCGTAACTGTCTCTTTGCAAGCACACATTAAAAAAAAACACACTTTGTAATGCTGGCACATGTTATAGAGTACTATACACAATGGGTTTTGCTCTTTGTTGCTTGTTTATGCTGACCTTTAGTTACTAACATCCATGTCCTTTGATCTCTGTTGGATAGTTGTCTTATCAGCAATCATACCAAATCTCCTTATTTTACATTTATCTTGCAAAGAGAAATAATTCTTTCAATTTTCAATAAAATGCATTGAAGCTAAAAGTAGACATTTGTTAACTTTTCAGGGATGTATTAAATACCCAAAATATTTTATTTTTTCCCTAGTTGTTCCATTGACTACTGCTTATTATCTAACAGATTTTATTAATGTATTGCATTTGATTTTGTCAATGTTTGTGAGGAGGTAACATGAAGATTTTACTGTCCTGAATTTAATTTTCAATAACCAAATTTATAAGTTAACAATGAAATCAGGTATCTGTGACAGGATAATCTTAAAATTTATACCTGTAAGGCCTCAATTGGAATCTGTATTTTAGTGTTATGCCGGAATTAACTTAATTATTTTCTTTTTCAAATTGCTGGAAATTTGGTGACTATTTTGTTAATGCCGATTTTAAACTTGGCCTAATATGTAAATGTTGGTATTTTGATCTGTTGCAAATTGAATTTTTGGATATTTGTGACAGTTGATCAAGTTTAATGAATGCCAATACTGGTATCTCCATTCTAATGCAATTGAACGAAACAATCCATTTTATTTTGGTGAAAACGTCTCATTAAATATTGAACATTCCATGAAATGTTTATTCAGTCTTTAGCACATAAACTGTTTGACATCATACATATAAGTTTGTATTTGGTATCAAACATAAAAACCAAAAATTTTTAGACTTTATGTAATTGCTTCAGCAGAATGGAATTGAATTTGAAAAAAGAAGATTTCAAGGTGAAAATGAGATTTTTTTTATTTTTGAAAAATCACATACCAATAAAAAAACGGGATTCAAAATGGCATTGAACCAATGCTCAAAAGAATTTTTTTTCCTGAAAACTAGTGAGAAAAGTATTCAGATTTTATGTTTGAATATTTATGCATTCAACTCTTCCCCAGGTATTTTGGGAAAATTGAAGTGAAAAGGTAGAAAAGGATACAGAGTTAAAAGCTTGATGAAGATTAAGTAGGAGAACTGAAAGCTAAAATACAGCTAGTAAAATGGTAGATTCTAAATATTGTAAACATTTTTTCTATCTGTTTTAGGAGCATCACCATTTGATTCTTTCCAAGTTGCAGATGTAGGTGATGTCAACATTAACTTATACAATTTACCCAAAGCATGTGAAGACATAAGAAAACATTTTTTGAAGATCATCAATACAGGATGTATTCCTTTAGCTCTTGGTGGAGATCACACAATGACTTATCCTATTCTACAGGCTATTAAGGTATTGTGTTAACTACAAGATTTTTTATGTTCTTAGGCATATTAGATATGGCATAGGCTTGAATTGTTTTTTTTATTGCTATATTTTGATTTTTAAATCATATCAGGTCATTACTGATTAATTAACATCACAAGAAAGCTTATCAAATTCAATAAAAAAGAATTGGGGGGGTGGGTGGATAATACAGTCTCTAAGAATCATGCTATTTATGATTAATGATAAAATTCCTTGGATAGTATAGAATTATTAAAAATAGAAAAAAATTGATTTTATTGAAAAATATATAAAGAAGTCAATTTAAAAACCAAATTTTTCATATGATAGTAAATTGGTTGTATGCATGAAATTCAGAGTTATTTTTGTCATCTATTGATGTTAAACTGGAATTAATTTTCCTTTTAAAATTTATACTGTAACAGGAGAAACATGGACCAGTTGGAATGGTACACATCGATGCTCACTCTGATACAAACGATGTTATGTTGGGTGAAAAGATTGCTCATGGTACACCATTTAGGTATGTAGAAATTTAAAATGGTTAACTCTCTAATGATTCTACATACAGATAGTACCTCATGGTACACCCTTTAGGTATGTAGAAATTTAAAATGGTTAACACTCTAATGATTCTACATACAGATAGTACCTCATGGTACACCCTTTAGGTATGTAGAAATTTAAAATGGTTAACTCTCTAATGATTCTACATACAGATAGTACCTCATGGTACACCGTTTAGGTATGTAGAAATTTAAAATGATTAACTCTCTAATGATTCTACATACAGATAGTACCTCATGGTACACCCTTTAGGTATGTAGAAATTTAAAATGGTTAACTCTCTAATGATTCTACATACAGATATTACCTCATGGTACACCGTTTAGGTATGTAGAAATTTAAAATGGTTAACTCTCTAATGATTCTACATACAGATAGTACCTCATGGTACACCGTTTAGGTATGTAGAAATTTAAAATGGTTAACTCTCTAATGATTCTACATACAGATAGTACCTCATGGTACACCCTTTAGGTATGTAGAAATTTAAAATGGTTAACTCTCTGATGATTCTACATACAGATAGTACCTCATGGTACACCCTTTAGGTATGTAGAAATTTAAAATGGTTAACTCTCTGATGATTCTACATACAGATAGTACCCTAGAGAGCCAAATGGGTTATTTTCATCACTTGGGGTCTGTTTTCCATCATCATCATATGTTAGCTTTTACAAAAATCTTACAGACTGAAACTAAACTTAGCCACAATCAGCATTGGGGTATCTTGTTGCATATATATGTTGAAATATTTCCAATGATCTTTCCTGCAACCAACACGGCTTTTTGTTTTTTGGCCAAAAAGTATAGAAGATAGAAAGAAATTCTAAACAGTGAAAACGATCAGCAAGATTTGATCAGCAAATAGGTCAACATAGCCAAAATAGTCAGTCTTCCTCTTATATAAGTTACTGCCCTTCAATGATGATTGTTACCCCTTTTTGTGTTTTTGGAAAAATCAATGGTCGATATTTGTTTTAGAGAAACTAAGCAGAAAAAATAATCAGTAGTACAAGATCAACAAAAAAGAGATTTAGTCATGAATTATATTTCATTCTATAGAACATCTAGGTCATTTTGTCTCTGGTGGATATAGTTATCTCACTGGCAATCATACCACATCTGTTCTACATAATGTTGGAGAGTGGCCATTGTTGAAGATGCCCTTTAATCGAGATGAGTGACACATGCTCGTTAGAGCTTAAATATTAACAAAGAAGGTTACAAAAGTAACAGAGCATGGTTTTCGTATATTGATTAAAATTATTCAACAAATTATTTTCTGCCATTTATGATGATTAGAGTGCTATTTATTATTTTAAGTTAATGGAGCCAATGATTTAAATAGGGCAAACTTTTGTAATCTTGGATCACATTTGTATTTATTTTATATCAACAATTTTAACCTTGATTGACAGGCGTGCAATAGAAGAAGGATGTTTAGATGGTAAAAGAGTGATCCAGATTGGATTAAGGGGGAGTGGTTATAGTACCTCGGATTATGATTGGGCTAAACAACAGGTAAAGCAGGTTTATTTTACTTTATTTTTTAAATTCTGGAGGATAAAAATACTAAATTGTTGTTAGCAAGATTAAAGTAAATTTATTATGCTGTCTGTCAGTACATTAACCAGTGTCAAAGACATATGGGTTACTTGCTTTCATTTAAAAAAAACTCCATGAGCAAATACCATGAATACTGATGACACAATGCTATTTTACAATCCTGTTGTGTTTTTCATTTGCTCAAAACTTTATGCTGTTATTGGGATTGATAAAGGTAAGCTCGCTTTAAAATTTAAAGATTTTATGGTTGTCCTTCCAAGAGTGTACATTTAAATATCAGATTTAAGTCAACTTTTCATGTGCTGCAAACTAACTGGAGTATCCTTGGATCGACTTACCTGAAAAATTACACAATTGTTGTAAGCTAACTAATGATTTTGAAGATTTTCTAATGATATGTCATTCCAGAAATATGGGACTTTAACCTTCAGATTCAAGCAGTTTTTCACATGTAACACACTTGGAGCAAACTAAGATCAATTTACTACAAACAATATTATCTTGTTAAAATTTTTGAAAGGTTTGGTAAGAAACTGTATACTCTTTTTTGGATTTGTGAAAGTACTGGTAAGCTCCCTTTCAATTTTGAAAATTTTACAATTTATCATTTTAAAGTTATTGGAAATTAACCGTCAAAATTCAGGCCAATTTTATACACTTAAAAATATCTTCTGCAAGTTTTTCTTTAGGGTCATTTTACTGACCTCTGATAAAATGCCTTCTACAATATTCCCTATGAACACAACAGACATCTCATGCATTTCTGGTGCAGCTGTTCACCTAACAAATTTGACCATTGACATCCAAACAGTTGCAATGATATGTGTCTAGTCTATACATTATGTCACTCTTTAAAATAATATATGAAATTAATTAAACTAAATGTAGGACATACAGGATTTAGCACTCAATTAGATGGTATCTGTAGGATTTAAGAACATTTTTGCAACAACAACTGTATAATAAGACATTTGTTTATGTTTTCAGGGTTTCCGCTGTGTGCAGGCTCATGAATGTTGGTATAAATCATTGACACCTCTGATGGAAGAGGTACGACAAATGATGGGAGATAAGCCTGTTTATATATCATTTGATATTGATGGACTAGATCCCTGCTATGCTCCAGGAACAGGTCAGTATTAGTGCTCTAGGTTGAATATATTGAATTATAATCCTCCTTTCACATTTCCATTTTCCCCTGTATGTTGTTGAGATGATGAATCAATATATACCTATCTCCATTCAATAAATAACCACTTGACATTTAGCAGCTATCCAGAATTATACTTTAATCTATAAAAATGGCATAGATAGAAAAAAAAATATCATATGCATAAAAGAGCTCAAAATCTTAACTGAAACTTAACACAATACTTGGTCCTAATGAAGGCTTGAAAGTTATAGAAGATAGAATTCTAAGGTCAATTGAGATCACAGGGTAAATTTTTATTAGTTCAAAAGTGGTTTAGTTGTGTATTCAGTTGTCATCAATCAGTTAACACTTGGTAATTGTGACATAATACTCAATATTTATACTATCTTCGATTTATTTAACAAAATTATATGAATAATTTTTATTGAAATAAAATTAAAAGATGGAGATGAATATTGCAGTATAGCATAACCTCAAACTGACATGGTATTAGTCATCTGGAGACTCTTAATCTATAATCACAGTGGAACTATGTTTAGCCTGTCAATTTATGATGATATCAAAGTTTGATGATTTTAAGTATTTTGAATGGAGAGTCAACCAAATGGAAGAGGAATTCAGGAGGACAATATATCTAGAAAATTTCATTGGAATTAACTAGTATAATGATTATAGTTATGTCAATAATCTGTCAGGATGGACATTTCAGTTAAGTTTTTATGACTTAGATAAAGTAAAATGTCATTCATTGGATACTTTGAGTATTCATGTATTGACATTATTTTTGACTCCCTCAGTCTATTTACCAATACCATAATTGACCCTGTAATTAGGGATCCATTTGCATGAGTTGTTTCCATAAGAAGGAACATGAAATTTTAGTGGAAAAAGCAAATTTATCTGTGTGTAGTGTATATATCTGTAACCTTTTTAAATCTTGTAATGACATTTGATCTTTTGTATAGCTAAAAACTATAGATATAGATAGTTTTTTTTTTTTCATTAAGAATTGATTAAAATGCCTATATATCACTTTCAATTTATCATGCTTTGACTTTGCATCTGCTAATTTTGTCGAGTTTAGAACCAGTCTACAATTATCCAAGGGAAACAGGTCCAGTTGTAAGTGTGTAAAAACAGAAACAAATCATTAATTAGTAACACATTAAACTAAGGAAGCAATGAACTACCAGAAGTTAGGAACATAGTACAGTACATGTTATTTTACAATGTATGGTTTTATTTGTTTTAGGTACTCCAGAAGTAGGTGGATTAACTGTCATACAAGGTCTAGAAATTCTCAGAGGTTGTAGAGGTTTGAATGTAATTGGAGGAGATTTAGTGGAGGTAACTAAGTTAAGGTCATAAAACAGATAGAAATGACTATGTCACAGATTTTGCTTGCAACATAGACACATTGTAATTAAAATTCAAATAAAATAATATTGAATGACTCTTTATTTAAGAAAGAAAATATCACTTAATAAATTTGGTGCTTCTGGAGTTCTTGTCAGGATTTACCTCCACTAGGAGTATTTAAAAAAAATTGGAAATCAGGGATGCATTAAAATGAGGAGCTTTATGAACAAAAGGGAATTAAACATTTTTACTTTATTAAAACCAATGTCATACTGCTAGATAAATTTCTGTTTTTATGATGTACAATTTCTGTCAGGGAAATAGTTTCTGTATTGAATATTCAGCATTAAAAGAGTAATATATGAATGTTAAAAGGCTAAACAAATTTGAAATAAGCATGACTTTGTAAAGCTTTATACAAAGTATTATCTTGCTAAGATTTTCCACTGGGGAAAAAAGAAATAGAAATATTACTATGTAAAATAATTAAGCTCATTTTATTACTACTATACCAATTGAACAGAAACTTTCTAGTATCAACACATTAATTAAAAATTGATTGCTAAGAACGGAATGATGATTTTATGAGGGTTTTTAAGAATGTATACTGATTTTACATGCTTTCAGATTCTATACAAATGTGTTCCTCATTTGAACAAAATATTAAATGTTTCGGAAAATAAAGGAGATAAAAAAATATTTTTTTTTTAAATCTAATCTTCTAAATTTGTATGCAAAATCTGATAAAATTTGACTGATTTAATCCTATGATTGATCTGGTATAAACATTGGAAAATAGGTATTTGTGTATTGGTATGCATCATTTCAGTATTAAGATCTCAGCAGTTGGAAAAATAATTATGATAGATTACCCAAATTGGGGAAAAAACATTAAATAGTCTTTGTTTACAAATATTGTCTTTCCATCATTTAAGGACAACATATTTTTCTGATTTCAAGTAAATCTTTCATAGTTGTTGTCTTCATCCACCAATAAAATCTGACCAGCACAATAGTTCTGAAAGTTGCATTACACACCAACAATCAATCAATCAATCAAATCCATTTGTAGTAGTTACATGCAAAATTGTATAAATATCAGAGACTGCTAATTGATATACTCCCTAGCTTAATATAGAATTTGAACTTGTTTCTTTATTTTTATTATAGGTGTCACCTCCATATGATACAACAGGTACTACAGCTTTGGTTGGAGCCAATATGTTGTTTGAAATGTTGTGTGTTCTTCCAGGTGTCATATATAAGTAAAAATATAGTAGGAAACCTGATATTGCAGTAGCCATTTATGAAATTTTTGTGCCATACTTATCAGGAACTATGAATCACAGCTTCCGCAGAGCATGCTTTACTATATGACATGTGCTTTATTATGCCTCGTCAACTTCCCACTTATTTCAACATCAGATATTAGCCTGCTATTTTTGGGAAAAAAAAATTTATAAGGGTTTTAAAAATTATTATAATTTCATTGCTCATATTAAACAAAATTTAAGCAGAACAGTTATGATCTCTTAAAAAAAATAGAACCAACATCTTATATTGGGATTTAAAATCAAAAGATCGAAGATGAAAGTATCATATAGTTTGAAACAAACAAATGTTATTCCTTTTTCAGTGCAAATTTCATAAAGTTTTATTCTATAAGTGGCTGTATATGTTGCAGCTGGTAATTTTAGTGTACTTTTTAATTGGCATTTTCTTTTCTTGTTTTGTTGTATGTAGTTGTGCAATAGTTTTGGAATATAAAAAAAATACAGTTATAGTATTTTGATTAAAAAAGAGAACCTTTTCATATAAACAGAGAATATTTATATATTTTTATATTTACATATACAATGTAGTACTTTAGATGCTATGTAATTTTTTAAATGAGTAAACAGAGAATGAAAGTAATCTAGAATGTTTAGTCTCTGAATTCAGAATATTGATACATTTTGTAAAAACATTGAATCAATTAAACTTGGTTTTGTTGTAGTAATTACTAATATTATTTGAGGGAATTTAATGTTTTCTATGTTCACTATTAGTTCATTTAAACAGATTTTGTTAAATATCATTATTTGTTATGTTCAAAGAAATGATTTTTCTATAGTCTTGGACTCTTGGGTATATTTTGTTGAAGCATTTAACATTTTACATAGGAATTCACTGTTTACATCAACATTTGAAGCCTTAATGTCTATTGTTTTAATACTTCCAGTTAAAGATAAAAAAAGACACAAAAGAAGCAAACAATGATACTGTGTATAATGTCTAGATTTTGTGAGACAGTGAAATAATACAACATGGTTTATAGATTGAAGAATTCTCTACTGATTTGATAACATGTTACCGATTTGATAAATGTCACTGCATTTGTAGCCAAAGTTATGGTAACCATGCATTACTGTAAAATGTTTAGTCAGTCAATATATACTTTATGATGTACAATTTCATATACAAATGTACATGTATGCAATAATGGTTAGTTCTCATATTTTTTTTTTCGTAGTAATTTATATTGATCCATTTTATTTGGACATTTATTGCATTTATAATTGTTACTTATACCATATTTACAAATGAATTAAATCATTTTATAAAAAACAAGTCATATTTATTGCCTGGTGAGGAAATAATTCGTTACTGTAGTGTATGCCATATCTAAGGAAGATAAAACAAAATGGATTCATATTTAAGTATGACTGCCACATTTGGCTTTTTAAGTTCACTGTTAGACTTGGAGATTTCAAACTGAAATAACTTTTAAACTAGGGTTCATTAAACCTGATACAATCCAGCACGTTGCAAAGTGCACAAACTTAGAAGTATGACCATATATGACCAAAGGTAACCATTTGTCCCCAAGTTAGTTTTATATCATATGTTTACATTTCTATGGTAATAGTATCACTGTTATCAATGCTAGTGAACTTTAAGTCCCAGGTTAAATTTAACATATAAGGGATGTTAACTTTCCTTAAGCGAGTTAATATTCCATGTCTGAAAATCGACACCAGGGGTCAAAATACCATATGACATATGAGGTATCATGCCTAGTAATAAGTGGTGATGATTTTAAAATTTATTCTTATTGTAAATATTCATTTTATGAATAAAGAAGTTGTACTAAAATTAAGCCTGAAACTGCATCACGCTAATGAAAATAAAACTTTACGAAGTTAGTGCGCAGAAGTGCTTTTCTGGCTTTAATTATTGCCTGAGGAATTTAGAACCTTATAAATGAAGCAAATTTGACCTAAAGCTATTTTTGGTTTTCTGTGTTTTTAGACAAATATCGTTTTGATACCCATAAATGTCTTTCCAAACTTTTGGTCTCAAGTGTACTTTATCCTCAATCCTCCATCTTAAGGTCTATTGGCACAAATTGTTTGGAATGTGCAGGTTTTGTGCTTTATGCTTAACGTGTTATCTCTGTGCGCTTTTTAAAGGGAATGGGCTGGTTACGATTTGAATTTAGGAACTGCAGTATCAAATATGCCATTTCTGTTGATATAATTTCCCACTGTATGTAATCTGGGCTTTCATTGTCTCTATTTTTCTCGTCTTCTAGTATGGTTAATATGGTTGATAAATTCATGTTTCGGATCCAATAAGGAAACTGTAGATAATACCAGCAACGAAAACATAAAAAAAGCAAGGAAAACAGCATATAGGATTTCACAGAAACGATAGTTTATATCCCGGCACTTGCATTCATATGAAAACATATGTCGTACCAACATTACTTTATGGATTGGAGATACTGATACCAACCAAACTAAATATTGAAAATTGGAACTATCCTTCAAAATATTACTGAAACAAATATTGTCCCTAACGCAAAATGTTCCTGATGTTGTACCATACATTATCTCTGAAATGATAGCAATAGAAGGACAAATACATATTAAAATTTTAAGCTACTTCTATAGTATATGTTTACTTCCAGAGGAATCAACTGAAAAACAAATAGTTAGAATACAATTAGCTGTTGAAGACCAGAATAATCACAGTTAGTTCATAGAAGTGAAGAAAATTATTTGAAAATATGATCTTTCAGAAATATATCTTCTATTAGACACTCCATATTCCAAAATTCAGTGGAAAATCTAATCTATAATAATTTGAATAAATATTAGAAGAGTTACTTTACAGATATCTCCAAGCTATATAGAAATATAAAGTATTTAAATGTTGGAGAATACAATCCTGGAAAACAACACCGTTTGATTTATATCCAAATATCATCTGTACAAGACATAAATCGTATTCTAACAAATTAAAACTAGTAACTGGAACTTTGAAGATTTACAGCATTTTCTATTGTAGTGTACACTATTAGAGACAACTAGAGAAAGTCTCCATGGCAGATCTTATAAATGAATACTATAATCTAACTAGTAGAAACATTACCTACTTTTCTGATGATGATAAAATCAAAATTATACTGGACTGCCCAAATCTCCTTAGGGAAAATGTTGGACATAGCAACAGAAAAATTAGTTTCAATATGTTATCTTCATTAGAATTTCAGTGTCGCAAATATGTGTATAACATTCATAGAGCAAGATATAAGATGCTGTCTGATCTGAGAAAGTATTTTACGGTATATATATATACCACACATGTATGAATTCTAAACTGAACGATAAGATAACTGCCAGAAACAGACATTTTATATGCTGCTTATAGACAATGTGTTTTTAAGAATGTACATGATGTATACACATGTATATATGGTGATGGACTATCTTTTAACATTGTGGTGGATGGAAAATGTTTTACCTATACTTTTAGTGAGCAATCATTGATCTCGAACAAAAGGAGGTGAAGAAAAGATACGGATACAGATACATATAGGTATGCAGCTAGATCAAAGAAGTTCAGGGGGAAAATCCAATGGAATCGATTTATATGCAGTAAAGATTAACACTTTTGAAATTAAGTTACTTAAAGCAAATTCAAACGGACATTTGAACAGACCGAGAAGACCACAAATACATGTACATAAATTGAGACAACCTTTTCTTAGAATTGTTTAAAACATAGTAAAAATATTTTAACGGATAACCTACTTTATATAAAAATATTTATCTTTAATTTTTTAACACGCACATACATGACTTTTAAATTGTTATATTCACGGAAAGACAATATTTTTTATATGGAAAGTTCACGTGGCAAGAACAGACCTGTGTATTCGAATACTCAAGACGTTAAAATACGTATATTTTGGGAAATGATAACCTGCTAAGGACTATGTGGAACACTCAGAAAAATTTTGACCTGAAAGATCTTTAGATTTGGTATGTTCATGATTTTTTTCCAATTTTTTTTATCAATATGCAGCAAAGATTAACATTTTTTGAATTCCAGTTTCACAAGCTTCTAATGCAATTATCTCTGTAAATAATAAATATAAAACATCGTGTCTTTGCATGCATGTTTCTAATAACACAGTTTAACACATAATTTCTTTAAAATGTACGATTATTGTTTAGAAATAACTTTTGATCAATATCGTCACCGGCATTGTTTTACTGTTGATTTTCCCGACTTTGTCAAAAGAATTGTCTTTTTTTCTAGTTTATCGGTTTAGCCACTGTGAATATTTGATAAAACATATTTTCTCGTTCGTTCTCATAACAAGGACACTCCAGGAGAAAGTAGTGAGGTGTTTCGGGTGCTCCACAGTTGCATGACTCTATGGCGTTGGTTTGGTAACTCGTTTCTTGTAGTAGTTTAGTTCTGTGTAGCTATTGCTGAGTTGGGCGAATGTGCTGAATTGTTTTTTAGTTAAGAAATCATACAGAATGTTTGTAGTCGGTATTTTTCGTATAAGTCCCTGCCTCTCTCAGATATTTCCCATCTTCTCTGCCATTTTCTTGCTGTACTCTTATAAGATGCTTGTTTGACGTCATGTAGTGTCCTCCGGTGGTAGTTCTTTTGTTTCCTTTGTCGCGGTCTTAGCAAGGATGTCAGCCTCGTCATTATCGGTTATACTGACATGTCCTTGATTTTCAGTTGCCTAATCGACTCCAGTATAATGGTCTTGTTTGGGTTATTTGAGTTTCGCCCAGTCTGCATGTCAATTCCCTACAGGTTCAATGAGGTTAATGTTAATCCCTGCCTGTGTTGCCATGTCTGCTGCTTGGCTTTAGTCTTTACCCATTGGGTTGGGGTATTTGTCCTGCTCTTCATACCTCGCAAGTTGTTGTTTGATCGGTTCTTTGTTCTATTTGTTCAAACCTTAGGTCGATCGGCATTACTCTTACTTCAACTCCTAATGCTTGTCTGTCAAATGTTGTAATATCTATGCAAAGAATCAATGCTATTCTTTGCACTATTGTCAAATGTTTGCAGTTCCTTCGGTTCTGCTATTTGCCATGCTGGGATACAGTATTCCATGACTGACTTTACTAGACTGTAGTATAATTGTAGTAGCTTTAACTAACTTTACTAACCTATCTCACTTCTCTCCTTATTGTTAAATACCTGTTTACTCATTTTTCAATGACACCAATGTGCTTGTTTAGAAGTTATTTTCGCGTCCATAAGGATTCCCAGGAGTTTTGGTGTCGAGCTATATTTGATTTCTTTTACCTGAATCAAAATGCGTTTGTCCTATTCGTCAATTTTCTATTCTGAAAAGAAACATGTTTCGGTATTGTCCAGGTTGATGTTTACTCTCCATTTTTGTGTACATTTCACTGCCTACGTGATGACAACCTTTATTCTATCCGGAAGTTCTGCTATCTGATCTGGTTAAGCAGTTTGCCAGAGTGTTCCGTCGTCGGCAAATTTAGAGAAGTCCCCCAGGATATCCCCCAGTAGGTCGTTGATAAAGATGTATAATGTGGGAACGAGGACTGATCCTTGTATAGCAGCTCTATCCTTGATTCAAATTCTTCGCTTACTTAGTTTTCAAAGAAGCACCTTGCCATTCTGTTATCTAAGAAATCTTTAATCCAGGCCCATATTTTTCCTCTAATAGTCCCTTTCGCCAGATTGAAATACTAGTATATGCCTTTTCTAAATAGATAAGGCATGCAAGGGGGATTTAATACAACCAGCAGTTTGAAATTGAGTGTTTGTTTCTGAATTTTTATTTTTATTCCTTCTATGAACGCTGAAAGCATGTTTTGAACAATTCATTCAGTAATTTTACACATTACACTGGTTAGACTTATTAAGTGGTATGCTAATAGGGAATACCTGCCATGTTTATTTTAAGGTTCGTCATAGTTCATATGGCTTCTATAAGGGTTCTCCGGCAAACCTAAACAGTTCTTGAAAGTGGCTGTCAGCTACAGGTGATTTCCCTATTTCTATCAGGCATATCGCTGATTCTAATTCGTTTGTCGTAACCTCATTATCCAATTTATGTGTAACTTTATCCCAGTCTGTTCTCTATTTCTCATATTATTTTGTATTCCTCTAGAATTTGTTTTTAAACTCTTCATAAAATTCATCGGTCTTCAGATGTTTTCCTCCAAAAAACGTTTTTCTGCAGTATTTTATATTTTTCTTGATTCAGAAAGGCTGGTGATTCGTCTTATTCTATTAAAGGATTATTGGTAGAATGGTGTTGCACACTTTCTTTT